ACAGAAATTAGATTCAGAATCTCATTAATTTGGTTAGATGAACATAAATTAACTAGCAGATATGTAAGACTGAAATATGTTGAGTTTCTAAAACAGTGCTGAACATGTATCCAGGGAGTTTATTTTTTTATGATTTTCCCTGTTACACTGTAGTAATATCAGCCTTCTGGTGGTGAAGAAAGCCCAGCAGCACTTTGGGGATTTTATTTTTATTTTTAGAGAAAGTCTTAAGTTGGTTGGGACAGTAATGAGCTTCAAAACATACACCAATGAAAAGTATCTTTACATGTTTGATCAAAGTTTTAGTTGGACAATCTGAATAGTGCTTCTGAGCAGAATGAGCACCTGTGTTATCTCCCTGTGGGAGGTGCATGCACTGATGCAGCTGAGGTGATGCTCAATATGAAACACCTTCACTCTGCAACCCACGAGCCCCTCTGCATTCAGTAACCACCTGCACAAAGCTACTGTACACTTTCTAACACAGATGTTACACTACTAAATACATTGCCATTTTTCTTTTGTTGATATGTTGTACAGGTAAAGTAGAAGCTTTGTATTTGCTGTTAATTTTCAACATTACAAAGAGATTACAAGTTATTACACCCAACAGTAGACTTACGTTTAGGCAAAGAGGGTAAATCTAGAGCGTCTCCATGGGGGGATAAGAAGCTCTTGTTTGTTGCAGCCCCACTTTTTGATTTAGGCTGGATGGATTCTTACATTAAAATCCTTCTGCTTTAAGCGTTCTGCCCCATGGTAAATGTAAAGTCTGTTGTTGTTGCAGCATACATAGCTACAGGATACTAACACTTGTCAAAGTGTTCTGCTGAGCACTTGGGAGAATAGTCTGAAGTTAGCACTGGCAGAAGATGAGTGCATTTTCTGTCTTCTGAGGCTTAGATATACATGAAAAAACAGTTGTACTGGTAGGTGTTGGCTGGCAACAGCAGTTGTGATAATGCAAATGAGATGAAAGCTGTGTTTGGGGTTTGGCACTTGGGAAGACACTCGAGAGTGAAAATCAACTGAGAAGGCAACAATGACTGTATTTTGATGGGCTGTAGTGGAAAAGAGATAGTTCAGATGACCATCAGAGACAAACAATTGTTCTCTCATCAGTGCTCTGCCAGAGTGACAATGAGAGATGATGTTGTGGAGCTAATGATCCAATTTTCTCATCAGTCTGATTTTAAACATACCAGAAAGTGTTCCACTTAAGTGTGGAAGTGGGCGCCCTGGTAGCTCACCTGGTAGAACTGACACCCAAAGGTACAATGTGCCCTTGCTGCAGAGGCCACGGGTTCAAGTCCAACCTGTGCTGCGTCTCATTTTCCTGTCCAGATCTACTTCACTGAGATGTATTGTACTGCACACTAAATTCCAGCATATAGTTAATTCTGACAGCGCTGTGAATCGTCACAGAGACTTAGCACCCAGCATAAAATCCTTCTCAGTTCATCTGAGCAGTAACTGTAAAAATTAATCCAAATACAGAAAAATTGGAATAATCATCATTTAAAGAAATGCAAATAGATGAACTTGCAAAAGCTTAAATTCTGTGAAGATGGCTGCGGGGATTTGCCACCATTAATTTACACCTGAAGAGCTTCCCATGGGTCCTGCAACACCTTACACATCATATACGTTTGCAGTCTAAGTTTCTTGGAAATTATATGCCTGAGAGGTGAGGTTAGCTTTCATTCCATTACCTAATGCACAGTAATTTAAAAGCTTGGTCCTTGAATTACAAACTGAGATGACGGTAGATAGCATTTGACATTTGCTCTACATTAAGTTAACTCATTCAACCATTAAAGGAACAGCTTATTCAGCCACTCAGTGTGAAGTTCTTGTTATAGTACACGAGGACCAACAACTGCAACTGCAAACTGTGGAGCCTCTCTTTATACTGACCTTTACAGCAGAGTAATTCCTTAAAGATGTACTGGATTCCTTCCATGGTGATATACTAATACATTAAAGCTTGGAAACCCAGAAGTATTTTGTAGCAGTTGTAATTTAGTGGGCTGTATGTATGGTCAGAAGCAGATTTTAATTATTGTAAGCCATTACAGACACCCTGCTTTTGAAAGCAGGGCTTTCAAAGGGCACCAGGAAAACACATTTTATTGCATAATGTCCAATTAAGTATATTAAAACAGATAATATCATGTATTATGTGTTTGTTTAGCACATATTAATCCACCTCTGTGTTAATTCTATAGTGTTACTGTATATATTAGAAGAATGACTACTAAACAGTTAACCATGCATAAATATTACCCTTTATGTGTCTATTTAAAAATAGAGCCAACTTATCTACATATACCAACTAGGCACAGATCATTCAATTGTATGTAAGACCTTAATACTTGTAGGGTGTTTACTTGCAATAACGTAATACTTTCTTTTAGTTTGGTTAAATGCAACAGTTCAGACAGAACCAGGACACAATATCACAACCAAAATCAAATGCATAGATCCTTTTAATGCAGAAATAGTGTACATGGGGGATTTCCCTCCATTCCCAGCACCCGTGTCACCCATGCTTTAATGTATCCTTTTTAAAGGTTAATGTTTTTATATGAATACTGATTTTTATCTTGTAACAAAGCAATGTCTGTTTGCTTGGTAGTCTCCTTATTCTAGTGCTGATGTTAGCCTGTGTACTAGACTGAAATTTGAGTGTCTCAAATTAAAGAAATGCTGCACTTCCCAAGGCCTTAAGCTATAACAATCTCACAATTTTTCATGATGTGTGATTCCTTACGGGAAAAAGTATTTTTGGGCCAGTTTGCGTAACGTGACGGTGTCCGTCTTGCTGTAATTACACAGTTTGGCCACTATGTCAAATTGGCTTCAAAGCCTGGGACTCTTCTTGGGGGCTTGGGAATATTTTTGACAGATATTATGATTGCAATATGATTAATGATTAGTGGAAATTATGACATTTGCATCACGATTTTCATTTTCACTGAAAAACCTATTAAAATCATGATGGTGTAACATTTGTTGGGGATTTGTAGGCCGGGGCATCTCTGCAGCACTTCAGTACTTAATTATAATTCTGTTTTGTCACATTTTTACCTTTATCAAAAAGGTTTCTGCAATTTGAATATTGTCACTTGGCCACATAGTGATTTCGATCATATTTTGATTAATTGTGCATCCCTACCCAGGAGTTGAGAGTCTTTTCACTGACTGACCAGAATTAGCTTCTTAGTGAAGCCAGCACTGTCATGAATGTGAATACAATTCTCCTTTAACATCATATTAATTCATAGTATTTTCATGGGTCATAATTAATCTCCTCATAACAAACTGCATTCTGAAAGCAGCTTTTTAGTCATGGCAGACAGAATTAATTCAACTCCAAATAAACAAAAATTTGTTTGTATGTTAGAGAGTTATGTTTTTGTCCTATTTTATATATATATATATAGTGCTACACTGTGCAACAATCATTCAATTCACTGGTCAGAGGACATGCACCTACGGTAAACCCATCTCCAGAAGGACACTGTAACATCCCCCACCAGTGGGACAGAAGGCAACATGGCAGCAGGAATGTTGGTCATGCAGGAAAAGGGGGAGGCAGTGGAGAGCGAAGTGCTGAGGGCTATTTTGAACTGGGATTATTGTAATTTACGAATCTTTGCACATTTTAAGTTAATGTGTTCTGTAATTTTACATGAATCTTACTTTGTAGATATAGAGATTAATTAACCAGTAGTTGTTCAGTTCTGTATTAGACTGTATATAGGTAGTTGGTGGTATACAGTTACATAATATTTAATCTATGTTTACATTAATGTAGCAATGCCCACCTCTGCAGTGCTTAATAAAGAAAAGTCAATGGTTTCCTGCTTATCAACCTGTAATTATGAAACGGTGCTATCAACAACTATTCATTTTCTCTCAGGTCCACCCCCATGCTGCTGTTTTCTGCTCCCCTTTATTGACTGTCTCACTTTTTTCATTTTGACCCATCCCCCTCATTTTCTCCTTTATCTTCATCTCTGTTTCACTCCCTCTCTTTCTTGCTGTCTCAGTGTAATGTGATCCAGGACCGATGCTGGCAGCCTCAACTGTGGCACTGCAATCTCTGCTCTGCTCTGGTTGCTAGGCAGCCTGTCTGAGACGGGGCTCGGTGATGCACCTCCCTCTCCGTCTGCCTCCAAAAAAAAATTAAAGAGAGAGAGGGGAGAGTGGCAGAGCTGGCCATCAGGCCATCAGCCAAAATTCAGATGATCCCTCCAAATTTCTCCGATTTCAGAATGGGTTGCTTCACATCTGCAGTGCAGCAGAGCATATTGTAAGCCTGGGGTGCTTTAGGGGAGTACGGATTTGAAGCAAAAAACACAAGCACTAACCCACAGGACAGTGTGGCAGATCTCCACTGTGATGCTGCCCACCTTCTGATGCGTTTGTGATGGAAAATGCTGTGTGCAGATTTTGTGTCATCACGCCTAGAATGAAACCTACCATGTGTGGCTAACACAGTGGGCTGCTGGCAGGCTGCCCAGGTGTGGGATATCGGTAGGGGAGTAAGGTTACTAGGAAGAAGCTGCATGATCTGCTACTGTGGAGCCACTATGAGTCATGGCTCTGGTTGCTCCATGTGTTTGTGGAGGACGATCTCTTTGCTCAACCATGTGTGGCAGTATTTGTAGGACTCCTATGATGTCTTCACTTTGCACGAGTAGGCGTCACACATGTTATGTAATATGTAAGATTTGCATATATATTGTGTTGGCTAAAGATGCCTCTGTGATGGAAATACTGCTGTGTCCTTGTTGAAGAGAGTTTGTCATTTACACCATTATGTTTGAAGGAGATGAGACATCAGTGAAAGGTTACCATAATAAGGCTGACAGTGGATTCTCGTTTTGATTTGAACATTATCAACCTTTGACGTTTTTTAATAAAATGCACTCCTTACAAATGAGACCTGTTTGGACTAACAACCTCATCTCCATCTGCGTGTGTGTCTGCAGAAGTACAGGTACCAGGATGAGGAGACGCCCCCCTTGGAGCACAGTCCAGCACATCTGGCTCCAGGGAAAAGTGCTGAGATGCTTCATATGAGTGACAAGAACCTTGCTGCCATGGAGGCCATACATGGCTACACACCACACACACATATTTCTCCTGTCAAGGTAGGACACACACACACACACACACACATTTATGTGCATTGCTGATCAATGCTTATACAATAGAACAATAGACTCAGCTGTCAGCACTTAGGAATGGGCCTGTTACTGTGTTAGAAGCACACACTTCCTTCAAAGGTGAATATACTGTAACATATTATTATTCCTGAGCCAGTAAGTCACAGTAATATCTTTACCACATTAATAAATATTCAGTGTGACAACAGAGGCATCATTTTTGATATTCATTGATATTCAAATAAGTTGTGAGCCACTCTGCAGACTAATTAAGCCCATAAGAGATGGTTCACCTATTTGCTGCAGATCAAAAGCACTTCTAAAATTACACTAAATGTACTATAGAAGAGGATAATTGTATTGATTGAATAAGTAAGGGTGATAACAGTTTTAATCAAAACAAAATGAGACAAAAAAGAATATCCCTAATTACTACGAGTTTGGTATTAATACAAATACTAGGTCTGAACACATTTATAGCCATAGTAAGCTGGTTTCCTTCATTCTAATTGGCTTCAATCAGAGACATAACATCCTCTAAGCTTGTTTAATTTATATTAAGAGTTTCATTCAGCTCACTCACAAGTGGTTCATTACAACACATTATTTATTATAACTTTGCACTTAAAATGATGAGTTGACCGTTTTTGAAATTCTAATTCTTCAACATAAATACTTTGATGGGAATATAATGTATTTATGAGGAAATACCAGCCCACGGCACCTTTAAATGTCAGATCAACTTTACATCTGGGTGCATATTGGGTAATTTGATATCAAAGCTTAACAGCATGAAAATCAAAGTGCAAGTGGACACAATATGTATTGAGTAATCTGATCACCTGAACCATTTCAGGAGGCAGTCAAAGATCAGTTTATCCTCAGAGATTATAATGTGTTGAAATAAAAAATGATTAGTATTGTAGAGGAAGAATTATAACAACCAATAGCCTCATTGGATTTAGAATGAAACTCATCTTGTAATCCAATGAGATTGATTACACTCCATTTGGTGAAAGAAGACTTTGTAAAAGTGGAAAGGTACACTTGCAATTTAAACTAGAAAGAGAGATCCAGATATGTGTGGACTCTAATGTAAGATACAATCGCAACAGCTCGCAATACAGACACTGAACTGCTTCTCTCCAGTATTTATTTAAGACATGTCTTACAAATGCGAAATCTAATCCAGAGAAACAAACCTCTATGAGAGCTCCATGACAAAGAAGGAGACACTGACGCAGACAACACAAGAAATACTGATCACACAGTCAAAAGATATAGCTGACACCAGTAGGAATATGAGCGGGGTTATGTTGCCTGGAGTGCATTAACAAATACATACTGTAGCTACAAATGCAAGTAGGTGTAAGCTATAATGCACACTTAATAACGATCCATCTCATATGCCCACACATGTTATTTAACAGCCTCACTGGCTATTAAGACTTAAGAGTCCCTGTATTTATTTGCTTTGAGGGGGGGAAGTGATTCTCTATTTCCCACATGGGAGTACACTAAAGTCCCAAAGGGGCAAACATGTCCATTAAAATGCTCTATTGTAATAAGCAGAGTGGAGGAGATGAGTTATTGTGCTTTACCGTTGCTATTTAAAACAGTTCAGCATGAGCTATGGTGGCCGTGGAGATTTCTCCTTGCAGGTGCTGCAAGAGTGCCCCGTTTAGGAACACAGTCAAATTGAAAAGTAGTGGCATTGGAGAGTCTGTTCCATCATCATATGGGACACTAGAAACAATTCAGTAAACAGCATAGTGCACACTACTAACTCTCAGAGAGACAGATAACACAGGTTAATGAAACAGCAGTAGAAAATGTGAGGAAATGAAAGTTGTTTTATGTATTACAGTCTGTTTCTGTGTCTGTGTCCCTTTGTTTACTGCTCTCTGCTCATTTGCATCTAAAACCGACCTGAACAAACTACAACTTGAACAGAACAGAATGACTGGGTTTTCATTAGTGACGATTGTTCAATGAACAATAAACAACACGGAGAGAAGAAAAAAAACTCTGGCCATTATTTGGTTGTGGTCATTTTGTCTGTCAGTCTCCCTGTGTCTCTGACTCTCAGCTGCTTTGTCAAATCAGAGAGTGAATGCAGCAGCGAGTGTAGCTGGTGGAGGTTGACAACAGAAAGGTGGCACATGTCAGTCTCTGTTAAACCAGATTTCAGGGGTACTTTAGGGGGGAAATACTGTAACAGTTCAGAAAATGTACTAAAAAATGACATATTTTGTATTTGAACGTAAACAACCATTCCATTTTTCAGACAGACATCATGATAAAATACTAGTAAAACAGGAACAAATATAGACATGCTATCCTCCTCTGACCTTTCTCTCTGGTATGATTAATTCTCTTTGTCCCAGTGGAGTTTGTCATCCAGCACATGCCAAGGGATCAGTAATTATTCACAGTTGATGGGTGCACCATTTATTATGTTGATGAGGAGAGAGACTTCTTACCCTAAAATCCACCATTGTGAGGTAATTTATGTCTGTTTTAAAGACATTTTTAAAGGTGATTTCAGAACCATTACATGACTCATTCAGTAATTTCCCAGAGGCTTGTGGTATCTTCTTAGAGCCAGTATATCTGTGGGGTAACTTACAGGAAATATAATAACAAGGAGTCCGTCATGTGGAACCACCATGTTGCTACAGTAGCCCAGAACAGACAAACCAAACGCTGCTCTAGATAGGGCAATTAGCCTGTTTTTTGCGGTCACCATAGTTTCTCCTACAGGCTTGGAAAGGTAAGGTGAAACAATGGAGTTGCATTTTGCAACTACAGCACTAGATGCTGCGAAATCCTACAAACAAACATACAGTCCTTTAAATAATCTCTAGTGCAACAATGTGTATTAATCTGCAACTGTAAATAGTCCCCAATAAATGCACTATTTAATCCTGTTTGAGTACCTTCTGCTAAAAGCTACACTGCCCACTGGTTTTAGGAAATTTAGACTTTTTTGAACAATAAAACTATGTATGTATTTGTGTGGGGGAAATACTGAAAAGTAACAGTTTTCGGTTTTGATCTTTTCACTGAATCTGTTGTACAAGAAAATATCTGCTTGCTTAATTCAAACATGACCTGCAATGTTGGTGATACAAGCACAGGCAATCTGTACTTCCACATCAAACTTTGTTCGTAGGAGGCAAACACTTCAGTCAAGGACCTTCATTAGGCATCAAAAGTACAAGATTTCTCTATATGTACAGGATCCAAGTTCCCCCCGCAGGATGTTAATGTTGCGTCTTTGCACAGCCAAATAATTTTACTTGCTGTGCTACACATCTGTGTTGTCCTTAAAAATTTTGACCACTATCTTTAGGTCACTATCTTGACTAGTGAATTTCATTGAAACCAGAGGAAGTGCATTTTGCTAGATGGGTGTTTTTCTACATGAGAATCTGTGATAAGGACCAGAATGGTCACTAAAAGGCAGCCAAGCTGAAGAGGTTGCATTTCAACTTTTTCACTGCTCATCATCAGTCATTGGTGTTTCTATAACATGACTTTGTACCCTTAATTAATTCTGTATTATTCATGTGTTTTTAATAGCATGTTTCTCATTGGTCTAGGAGCTTTCTTAGTATTAATGTTGTTTTACCCACCTATCAGCCTTAAGTTACATAAACAATTAATTAAAGAAATCACCTAAAGAATTACACATCATTCTGGGAACTGAAACCATAAGGTACAGAATAGGTGTGTTTATTTACTGTGTGAGCTGAGAATGTTTCTCTGACACCATGCACCTAAAAATACATCAGTCCTTTTGTCAGCTATTTTGATAATTAATCAAAGTAATTAACATTTCGAATGACTCCTGTTTGCACCAACAAAGCAGTCTGAAGGTTATAACACTTTGATTACATAATCTTCTATATTCTGTCTATATTTTATCTTCTATTTGCAATGTCCCTGTTTTGATCCCAACTAGGACCTTTGTTGCATGTCATATTATCTGTTTGGCAAGCACACTATGTAACTAGCCTGAGTGCTGGTATCGAAGGCACTATATTCATTCACAAACCGATTAATGTGACACAGAGAAAAACGAAATGCAAACTATACTTGAACATCTTTGACAGTGACAGATCTAAGATCTATAGGAATATAGTTTGGTTTCTTCATACCACAAAAGCACTTCTATCTGGAACAGTGTGTGGTTTAAAACTAGGCTGCAAAAATGTTTTCTTCACATCGTCCCTCCAGATATTGCCACTCTAGGTAATACTTTTGTGTAAAAATGCTATGGTTTTACAAGCCTAAATCATAAAGCCCCATCCCTCCTAACAGAGGCTTTGGAGATTTCCTTAAATTATAAATATTAAATTCTGGTGTTCAGTGTGTTTGCAGAAAATACTGAATCAAAACTTTAGAGTAAGATACAAACCTCCCATAAACATTAACAGGCAATACACGAAGTGGTGGGGGAAAAGTAACTGAAATTAAAATTGTAGCAACTATAAGATTGTTATGAAGACACCTACACTGCAACAAAATTCCGTCTTGAAGATTTTTTTTTCCTTTCACATGAAAGGGAGCATGTGGATGTTGTTCATAGTGTTTTGGGAACCAGGATTGGCCCTATTTCTATTTCTGGAATACTGCCATTATTTATGAAGTCTTGTGTTTCTCTTCAGGGAGAACTGAATGCACTATGAAGTATAAAGGTCTGGACTCACTTAGTTCAAAGTGAATTGTTTGCATCATTTTATGTTAGTGCTCTGCATCCTTGAATAGTTATAAAATATATATATTTATATAAAAGTAACTCAAACCCTGGCTGATGGATGGCTGTGGACAAACACTATTGGAGCCATTTTGTTTTTTACTGTCTACTGTATTCTGATATGTCAGGAGGGACAGGCAACATTTTATGCCTGATGATTTTTAATTGCATAATTGTAATAGATTATTAAATCTGAGGTTATGATAATCGTCATAATGATTACGATGATAAAGATAATGAGGGTTGTTTTTTTGTTGTTGACAATGATGATGAGGTTGATGATGATGATGATGGTGGCTGGCTGCACTTTGCACTAGTTGCTTCCTCACACAGTGTAATGACGACCTCATGCTGGCTCAGTCTTGATGTTTTTGGTTTTGTTCATTATTGTGTGATATGGTGATTAATGTCAATATACCCTGGCCTGCACCAATCCCATTTTCCTCATGTTTTACTTTCACACATCTTTTTAGTTGTATGCTTCTCCTTTCCTTTTCCAAACTACACTACTCCCCTCCTGCACCCAAATCTCCGCTTGTGCCTGGTTTCTGTCAGCAGAAAGATTAAGGAAGTTGACCTGAAGTGGCCTAATTGAATCTATTCGCCTGCTAGGAAAGTCAGTGATAAATTAGTGCTAGTTAAATGTTCTACTCTTTGCTACTGTAGCAACTACTGCTGATGAGCAGGGCACTTAAGTCCAAAATGGCTCCAGTGAAGCCATGACTAGAAGGCAACTATATTAAGAAAAAGCAGTGCACCGATAGTATCTGTAAATATCAAGATCAGCATGAATCCGCCTCCCAGGTAGTCCTACTTGGATCAGCAAATACAGTTGTCCCAACATTCATACTTTAATGACGTGCTTTGCTGCAATATAAAACTTTTCCAGCGGGAGGGAAAGTGTCTCCTGACATGTGAAAATGCTGCACTGCTGCTATTTGTAAAATTCATAGGCACATTGTGTATTGTTTAGAGTAGCAGCTTCAGCTGTGCAGGGTGAAATCCATTCTGCTATAACAGACGATCCCACTGTTCTTTATTGGTTAACCGATTCTGAATAAGATGTTTATCAATAAGATATCGGTGACTAGTAGGGGGGAAAGAGGTGCTATATCATCAAGAATATGTTATATTGTGTTTCTGTTCCATTAGCTGCCTTTTTTTGTGTGTCTATGAAACAATCACTGCATAAGATCAGCTTAATAAATATAATGTAAATCTGTCATCTGTAAGACTGATATTTGTTGAAAATACATGTCAGTGTTCGTGGTTTACCATGGATGTGCCCTTTTATTCAGATGTTGCTTTCTATGTGTTACACTGCTGAAAGTTCCCAGTGTTTTTGTATATGTCATGTATATCATATATTTAACATATAATTACAGTATTGGCCTATCGAACTATCATATTCAAAGCATATAACCTAAACTTATTAGATTTTAGTAATAATATACTTTAGTATTTTACTGTCTTGATCCTGTATCGGTTCTGGTAACCTGGTTTTGGTGAACCTCTGCTGTGAACTCAGATGTGAACGTGTATCATAGATGAAATAGTCAGCATCCCTGCTGATAAAAAACAACAACAAACCCACTGTTCTTCCCCTGTACACATCTGCATGTCCTGCACAATTACCCTCTCCCTTTTGTTGTTTTGCAGCCTGTATTGATGTCTACGGGACACACTCCAATGTACACCTCCGCTGTTTCCACACTGGTAAGAGCACAGCGATCCGTGCCGCTCCGTCACCCTCAAAGTTATCAGTATCATCATCCGTCATCATCATCAGTCCGATTTGTATATCCTCATTTTCTGTGTTTGCTAGATATGGTGTCACTCAAAGGTTTGGCTGTCTGATTGCAGACAGACAGTTGCCCGTTCAACGCCATTTTAGCTGTGCTGCCAGAGTATGAGGTCATCTGTTTTCTGATGATATCACTATGTTCATACTCACTGTCATTCAAATCTCCTTTGTATGAATGATTCGTTCCGCTTGTACTCTGTGACTATTTTTGGGCCTGAAATCACGTGACTGGAACTGAAAATGTTGAAATGCTATGCTTCCATCAAACTATAATGTGGAACTCCTCTGTTATATTCATATTTCTATTTGTATGTTCTTGTAAGCTCCTATGCCGTGAACATGTCAGGAAATATGCACTGTTGATCCTGTTTCAGTGTAAAGAAGTGTGAATGGTATGATATATGTCAACATATATCTCTAGAATCTGTTTCTCAGGCTACATTTTAAACACACACAAAAAAAACCTATCCTGGAATATAAAAATCAATGGAAAAGTAGCCATGAGGCTGTGAGACATCTAAGCCTAATGTGTGTCATTGTTAAAGCTTCAGTGGTATGTTGAAGGTGTCATATAGCATGGGGGTTTGATAGACAGAAAGATGTAATCTTTTTGCAGGACAGACTGAAACCTGTAGGTGTCAGTGTTAGACTGTGCAGAGTGACTTTCATAACCTTGAAAAGATGGTTATTCTGCTTTCTCAATAAAACATTTTTATGATCAGACAGGTTGCATTAGCCTCTTGCACCATGAATTGCTCAAAAGATTTTGTCTCTCTTGCAAGACAAAAAAATGTATGTACATATGAATATATAATTGCAAAAGAATTCAACATTCCATTAGTTATTCCTTTTAAGAAAAACAACAAGTTTTTCTAATTCATAAACATGTATAAGTTGAATGGAGAATTTAAAATAAATGGCAAAAGCTAGTTAGTGTGTACTTGAATATAATTATTTTTAAAGGAAAAAGACAGGATCATAGGAGGGAGTGGACTATACAATCTGGCATTCAGTCTCTCTGCCTCTGTTGAATAAGTAGTTACTCTTGTAACTATACATCATTTCTCGTCTTTGTCTGCTTGCCCTGACCTTGAACACACCCCGCCTAATAGTGCCTGGTTATAATTAAACTGTTTAACATAAGGGACATTCTGCACCCTTCAGCATAAAGCCATCAGTAAGACAAATGTGTTTGTATACATTCCCTAACACATACAGAAGTACTTCATTCTGCATATGCATGCATTCAATTTTCTACACTAGTTGGGTATGTTATCCAAGATGCATTGCAGTCATGCCTATGTGTGTGGATGTCTTTTGCGACTGGTTGTCATTGATGTGTAGGTGGTGTCGTCAGTCTGTCCCTTTATTGCTTTAATGGTGTGGGGTTTGCCAGTACCACTCCAGGCCCCATTGATTTATGGGTAGGATTGTCTCTGGAAGCACTGCAATGGTTTGGCAAAGTAAGAGGAGGTCTTTGGGTTATGTACATGATTTAGCGAAGAGGTGCTTTAGCATCAAATGACATCTACTTTTTTGCGGCATAATGTAATTAGAAATGATTTTTTCACACTGCACAGAACTTTTCATATTTATCTGTGCTTATATTAATGAAGCTTCCAACCTCTTCTATTCTATATGAATCTATAAGTCTACTGTACCATGTCCTTCCTTTTATTATGGGGCTATATAAATTATAGTGAGATGCTGTTGTGCAGGTCTTACATTGAAAGTTCATCATCTATCCAACAGCAAACACAAGATCCAAATTTATATACACTGTACACAATATATAGCATACAAAGAATTCTATACAGGGAAGTAAATCCATTATTTGCTCTCTCTTATCCTGAAATAATAGAGTTTAGAGAGTTAACAGAAAGGGCTATTAAAAAGGTTGTTTCGAAAAACTAAGGCTAAGCTAATGAGCATAGGGTCTTAAAGCTTCAGTGTTGCAAAAAGGGTATTTCCCTCTATTTGCGGTGAATCCCATAGGCATCTAGTTATTGAGATAAGCTTAACTGTATTCAGCATTCAAGACACCTTCAAACCTCACATATAAAAGAGGGCGTTTCTGCGTGTGTGTGTGTGTGTGTGTGTGTGTGTGTGTGTGTTTGAGCAGAATAAATACCATTCATTATCTATATTTTGGATGAGGTTCACTCACACGTTACTACCCTGAAGGCAGCTCTTCCATTAATTCACTGACAGAGATCCGTATCAAAAATATTCTTAAGGAAAGCTTCTTTTTACAATGCACAAGTTACATTTATCTTAACAACAGATTGGAGTCCTAGAGCTGAAAATGTTACACAAAACGTAAGGCATTTATCTTTCACCTGACAAGCCAGGACTGAGACCCAGCATGCACAAAGTGCTTAGTGAAGACCCCCATTGCCCAGTTTATGTTACATTCTGTTTCTTCTAATGAAAAAGGATGCCTATCGCTTTCTTTCCTCCTCTAACCACAGAACTGTTCCTATACGTAATACTTTTCACACAAATCCTCTTCAGACAAAACAGTCAATCCTGTCGGAAGTGTTTTGACACCTCGCAAAAAAGAAGGTTTTTGAATGTAAGGATTCAATTACTGTTTTCTGTAGTGTTCTCCATTATTACCCTCCCCTTTCTGCTCTGCACTCTTGTCTGGTTGGTATCTGTTTCTATCTTCATTTTCTCCGTCCTCCTTACTTTTCTTTAATAAATGTTTAAATATGTCCCTGCAGCTTCGGTGTAATTACAGTGCAGCAGCAGCTCAGGTCCTTTGGGAAGGAGAGAGAGAGAGAGAGAGAGAGAGAGAGAGAGAGAGAGAGAGACGGAAAAAAATATGCATGCAAGAGAGGAGAGAGCTTTTCATGCTGAATGGCAGAGTAAGACAGATAGAGAGGGCCTTGCAATTGGAAGGGTGAGAAAATTAGATAGGTAGACGGAGGAATTTTATTCAACAAAATGAGAACGTCAGCTGACAGCTTGTCCTTCAGCATGTCCTTACATAAGTCTGTTCAGTGTGGATGCCTTTGTGGCTGTGTGTCTGTGTGTGTGTGTGTGTGTGTGTGTGTGTGTGTGTGTGTGTGTTTGTGTGAGCAAATATATATTACACGCCTGTCGATCCATCTGTCTTTCAAAAAGAGAGAGCTTGAGTGAGCTGTGAAAAAGATGTGGATTTAAAAGGGAATTCAAGTAGTTGTGTGCCTTCATGAGGCTATATCCCCCATTTAATAATTTATTTGAGGGAAAAAAAAAATACATGTAATTTCCTTTTCAAACATCACGCCCTACTCTGTACCCTCACTGTGCTGAATTCATTGGCAGCAGAAGGGCTGTGAGGGTTCAGCGGGACCGTAATGACAGTCCTTTTGAAGGTTATAGATTATTATTGCCTCAAACCGTTTGATTGGGATGAGATGAAAAACATTTGTCTTTGTTTTAATCAAAGCAAAAATGCAGTAATTGGAATTTTTAACAGTATAACAGTTTTTTTTAAATACTTCTGTATAATAATTGCAATGACAACAACCTTGGAAACAAAACAGAGCAAAAAAAAAAAGAACACAGGTGACAAACCAAAAATATAAGATGAATTTTCCACCCTTGCTGCCACTACTGTATTTAATTTTCAATTTTAAGAATTAACTGACTGACTGTAAAACTGGGGCTTACAGGCCTCCAGCCCCCTCTCAGTTTCAAGTGCTCCCTAGGACGAGTCAGGCCAGTTGGAGCTGCTTGTCCTTCTAAGTTCAGCCGAAGTATAATTCCTCCCCCTCTCACATCACCAGCGTCGACATTATACAGAGAGACAGCTAAGTAATTGCCATCAAACTTTCCTGCTCGCTCCTCTTTCCCTGGGCAGCGGGGATGGGAGGGGTACAGTACAGTAGCAGCAGAAAATATGAACTGCATTCTCACCGAGCACAGACCAGTAGCAGGGAGGCAGCGCTATCATAGTCCACTGCCACAGATGACGAAGAATGGAAGGATCTGCTTGTAAAGGCTCTTTTTAACTCTGGATGGGTGATTTCTGAAGACAGGACGACTGTGCTTCAAATAATAGCAAGCCTCATCAGCGAGGAGTTATTTTTATAATTCGAGCCCTGGTTTGCAGGATTGTATTGGTCTTCCTAAAGCGAATTTTCCAGCACAGACTCAAGCAAGAGGAAGATACTAATTGGGCTGAGCTCTTTTTGTGATTTTGGATTTATAAATGTACAAAGGTGTCTCCAGTGTCTAAAGCATGCTCTCTTTGGTGTTATGCTTTATTTAGACTGAGTGGGAGGCGAAGCTGAAAGGGCATGTGTTAAGTTAAAATAGATATCTTTTAATTGTGGCAATCTGGACGTTCTGGGGTTTCCGATCTACTGTTATGGCAAGGCCTAGACCTAACGGCCCACTTTGCAACCATGCGTTTGTGGTATCGGTGAAAGCGGACACTACTAGAGCGTACTGTAACTCTTCTGGAAACACACTTGGTGGGTGTGTATGTCGTTTTGGGAGGTGAGGAGGGTGTGCTCCCAGTATCAACCGTGATTTCTATTTCGGCACTGAAGCACAATGTTCATGTCCGTGTGGTACGCCAAAAAGATGGGCTCTCGGTTCCTCAGCAATGTACGGAAAGCCAAGAAACATCGACATCATAAGATGGTAGGCATGTTTTAAACATGTTTACTCTTTTTTACTATATTTTTACATCAATACAAATCTTTATGAAAATTCCATTGTGTTTAGTGGCTTAGTATTGGAGTATGTTTATGTTATTACTATGGTACCCAAGCTGTTGTTGTTTGATCATCTGTACAGATAGAAAACTCAGGTCAAGGCTATGGCCGCACTTACTCAGGCCGTGTGTGTGTGTGTGTGTGTGTGTGTGTGTGTGTGTGTGTGTGTGTGTGTGTGTGTGTGTGTGAGATTTTTGCTAGTCTTCCTCTAATGGTGTGAAGGTGCAGTTTCTTTCATTTAATATCAAGCAAACAAGGAGCTGCAGGTGACCACCAAGTCCACACCCCCGTAACCTTCATCTTTTCCTGCACACGACAGGTAGATACGTGGGATTTAATAAGGAGCCAATAAGTGAGCAATGTGCATAATGTGAAATCCAAATGAACCTCTGTCACATTCTGCACTAAAACCCACACACAAGGATGCCGCCTAACTCACCAGCCTTTGAACCTGACACACAAAAAGCACAGCTACGCATTACAAAACACTTCAGACAGCTTTGCACAGCCCTCAGGTTGGCATTTGGTAATGTTATCTGTCTGTACCTATTTCTCCCTTAAGCAGGAAAGCAGCAGTTAAGGTACACACTAAAATTGTGCAATAACCATAATGCTTGCCTGTTAAATTGTTGCTATCAAATAACCCTTTTCTTCATTTAATGTATACCAATTCAGTTTGACATTGCGTGGCTAAGTAGAGGTCATTGTCTTGCTTATTGACCGGATGGCTTTTACATATTAAAGGCTTTAGAGCTGCTGCAAGGTGTGCAGGACATGCACCGTTAAAGCCTCTCTAATGCAACCTCAGGTTTGTATCCAGTGCCAGCTAACACGTGAAATCATCCCGTCTGATGATACTGAGGTATGCCTTGCTTAATCTCAACAGGAAAGATAAAGAAAAATACCTATAAGATATTCTTAGGCTTAACTTAAAAGGTGAATGTCCCTATTATTGGTTTTATTTTATCAGTCCATCAGACTGGAAGCGAGTGGTGGTGTGAGCATGCACAGGATGCATGTGTAGGTACACAGTGCACAGAGGAGTAGAGATCGATCAGATTACCTGAAAGTCTTGTGATTCACATATTCAGGAGGGAGCATGTACAGCACAGTGTGCAGCTACAGCTTTAACAGAGGCAGAAAGGTTTCCAGTGCTAAATTGTTCAATACTAACTCTATTTATTCAACTCTTAATGGAGAAAAGAAATTGATTTAAACATACTGCTTCACTCCTTTGCTGCTCTGTTTCTTGCCTCAGTGCCGTGCAGGCTAGAATACTGATATATATTCTTTTATTTGCTGTTTATGCTGTTTTATTTGTCTTTGAATATGTATACTCTGGCACTTCTGCTGCATATAAGTATAAGGTGTGTATGTATATGTATATATATATATATATATATATATATATATATATATATATAACATATACATAAGGTAACGGTCTGGGTGTGGATGGATGGTGGTGCTGCCTGTACAGACATGGCAGAGGACAGGTTAGCTGAATAGGTGGTGTTAAAATATAGGTGGGCAAGTGTAGCCAAACAATGTAAATCCTAACAACCCTGACGTCGAACGACTTGACAGTGCAGAGCGAGGGAGAGAGGGCTATGTCAAAATCCCTGCAGGGAAACTGCCTGCACTGGGCTTAGATTTCTGCTGGCTATACTCATTATTTCTGTCTCTAGATAAGGATGAATTTGACGTAATGTTCAGCAGCACGGCCCGTTGGACACAGCTACATGGTGAAGCTCTGCACAGGCACTGTTATAATCGAAGAGTGTGCAGTTAAAGCCAAGCTCTGGCATTTTGTGGAGAGCTGGGGCAGAGTGTTATGTCTTTGCCTCATGTGGATGAGTATTTTCTCTTTATAATGGAAGCTATAATTAGTAACATTCAACTTGATTAATAATGAGAGGGGCTGGAAGGGGCTTGCAGCAGAGGATGGTGGTGTTGTGTAAAGAACAAGGTTTAACATGTTAGAGCAGAACATAATAAAGGTGTTTATGCTATTTAGCCTGTACTTACTGATATATATGACAGAATAATGGAAACATCTGTCAGTAAAATGCAATACAGTTCAACAGCAGCACAAACTACAGTCTCCGTACAGTTGAGTCAACCCCTCTCTGAAACATTATAATATTCATGAAGGTTGGATTTGTTGCAGGACTGTTGTATTAAACCGCAATAGTTTTATCTAGGTGTACCCATGAACATATAGACTATATATAATCTATGCAAAAACAGTACGTTTTACTTCCATGAGTTCCCATGACAACGAGGTTGTGTAGTTATTTGTGTGTGTGTGTGTGTGTGTGTGTGTGTGTGTGTGTGTGTGTGTGTGTGTGTGTGTGTGTGTGTGTGTGTGTGTGTGTGTGTGTGTCAGGGCTGCCAGGTCTGTGAAGGTCAGCAGGCAGGTTTTATGCTGCTGTTTGCTGCTTTGTAAGCACTTTAGATGCGCAGGGTCTTTCCCGTGGTAATCAGCGTGGTACAGAACAATGACAGAAATAAATGCATGCATTTAGACAGGGAGTCAGACCGTGCTCTCTGAAGAGTACAGTACATAATGATGTATTTACATCTTCCAACATCAGACACACATTGATGATGAGAGTAAATCCTTGAAAGAAGCATAAAAGAATGAGAATGTATTTGGAATAAAAGGATAGGAATAAGAACAGTGTGTAGAAGTCAACTGTCACACTTTAGATGCACTGACAGAGAAAAGTCCCGGCAGGTGAACCCAAAGCATATCAATGCCAAAAATCCTGTCCTCTCACTGACTTGCTGTCTGTTCTAGTCTTTCTGTATCACTTTGTTATGGATGAATAACTCACCAATATGTTGCTTTACACTTGGCCCAAACCATCATGGATGCAGTATATTTTTTGGACAAACTTTTGATAAGAATAACTTACCGCCGAGTGAGCTGACTTTCTACTCCTTGATGATAATCAGACTAACTGTGCTGTCTGTCACTTCCTTGTTACCAAGTAACTGTTTCTTCATCATCCTCCCATTGTGCTGGGAGATTGCCACCATGTGCTGTCACATTGCGGATGCACATGAATCACTGAGAGGTTTGTTTTGAAACGGCTGGTGTGCAGGAGGCAGATGCTCATGTCCACAGTAGTTACTAGATAGTCATTCACAGTACCAGTGATACAGGCTATGCTGTAATTCAACCAGCAACTACACCAAAGATAAACCAAATAACCATGAGTTTGGAAAACCATGGAGGCTAGCATGAATTATGTCTGTGTCCATCAGGGGTGGATAATAATAACTAATGGCTCTGAAGCGGTGCTCTCTATCCTTTAGCAGAGTGACAACCATAGCAGAATGAGAATAGTGTTATCACAGCTAAGAGCCAAAATGGCCATCAGTCTTGGCTGTGACCGTAGGTTTCAGGGATATACTGAGAGCTCATCCAAGAGCTGCCTCATCTTTGAGTTTCTGCTATTATTTCTTAATAATGTTTCTTCTCTCTCTGCCTCCAGGGAAATACTCCTCCAGTGGTGGTGAACACTGACACACTCGATGGCTCCCCATATGTAAGGATTATGTCTAATCTTCCATTTATTGTATTATTATGTTAGGCTTGACCACATGACTAACTTAACGGCGTTCATATTCAGTCTGTATTATCAGTAAAATTCCTTTCTTTTCCCCAGCATACAGGTAGGTCTTTGCTCATTGTATTAACCTGAATGATAACAGTAATTAATTTTACTGCTTTTTAATTAAAATGAGGTTTCCCTTTTTGATACACATTTTACAGAACAGAAATAATAAATAAAATACTTAATTTGATTAAAATTTCTTTAATGATGCCATTTCTAAAATGAAAGCAGGAGACTACCTTGAACATATTGTCATGAATTATAAGGACTTACAGAATGAGGCTTCTCAGAGAAAAGCCTCCCACCACAGACCAGTATTTTTGCACCACTACAGCACTAAACTGTTTTCTAGGTCACCACCAAAACAATGAAGTCGGAAGTTCTCTAAATTCCCTCTTCCTCTGGGACTTGCTTAATTGCAGAGGTAAAGCTGATATGTAGCTACATTGTTCAGCCACATGGTGAATTAGGCTAAAAGAATGGTGTGGTTATAAACCTGGTATCGCACTGGTCCACACACATAATTTGTCAAAGAAGAGCTAAACCATTTTGGATCAAATTTAGTGGACAGAACTTCTGTTTAAGGGATGCTATCATTAGATTTTGGTGATGATGATGCTGTGTTCAGGAGCTGACGGGAGATCCCCCATCCAGGATTTCTGAGTCAGTTTATGAATTGTAACATACTGCATGGTGAGCAAGCACAGAAGGCAAACACTGAATCAACATTAGCTGACTTTAGGATTTATAATCTTATTTTTTTTCCTTTATACTTAAACAGTTAAAGGTCCTATGTGTAACATTTAAGAGGATCTATTGGCAGAAATGGAATATAATATACACTATCATTAGTGTAAAATCAGCCACCGTTATTTCTCCATTCATGCTTGGAAGTGAAGAGTGAAGCGAGAGAGTTGCAAACTACACCACTACATGCCACTAAATCCTACACACGGGCCTTTTAATAATTGTGTAATTGTTTAAATAACTGTAAAAAATGTTTCTCTGAATGACACCGTATAAACCAACATCCCTTTCTGACAGGTGAATGGGACAGAAGGTGAAATCGAGTATGAGGAGATCACACTGGAGAGAGTGAGTCTGAGAAAATTATCTTTTAAACCTGATTTTATACATTTACATATTTACTCCTGTGCAGTTCTACCATATTAATTATAGACTTCATGGCTATCTACGCTCTATAAAGCCACAGACAAATGGCCCTGATGTGAATCATAATGTGTTTTTGTTTGAATTTGCTACTGCAGGGTAACTCAGGCCTTGGCTTCAGCATAGCAGGAGGAACAGACAATCCACATGTGGGCGATGACCCCAGCATCTTCATCACCAAAATCATACCTGGAGGAGCCGCAGCTCAGGATGGACGACTGAGGTAAAACCACACACACAAAGCTACTATAAACACAAAGCTGACCTGCATGCATGCATTCCACAAATCAAAAGCTCCCGGGTAGACAACTACTCTGAAATGCCGCTCTACAGTCCCCATTCACCCTGCCTTTTCTCTGCACCTGCGTGCACATTTTCTTTTGAATTCACTGATTCAGACAACTACCATACTAACTTTTTTTTACCAGCAAACACACTTAGAGTAACAGTCTAGGTAAAACATCACCTCTTCATTTTAAGTCCAAAGTATTGTACCACAGAACTATAGCCTAAAGACTGTCCAGTCCGTTCAGCATCAAAGTTACATCACAGAGGACCTGCCTGTTTAATTTAGAATCTGAATACCCAACAACCTATACTACTTTTATTGGTCTTTAACAATTATATACTTTTACTGTCTGTATTTGGTCTTAAATGTGGCCTTAAATAAGTAAAAGACATATTTGTTGTAGTGTTGTTGCTCGTTTGTCACAAGGTTCAAAATAATCTTGTACAGTTTTTATATAGGTTAAAAGAGGTCCTATAAGAAAATAATATGGAATCGTAAGGTAAAATTTGTAATGTTTGGTTTGTCAGGTTTAGCATCAATAACTTTCTCATGGTCTTATTATAAGTATTTAACCATTAAAAGAATAAAATATGTGGCAGCTAACAGCAGCAGCTGTTATCTATCTATTTTAGATGAAATGCTGCATTCTTCATCAATAAACTGTGGCAAATGGCACCTTAAATTAAAGCTCAGATCAGATTCTAGAGGAGCCCATTGAAAGAATATGTAATAATATCATATTTGTTTTCCCACTTCATAAGTGCAGAGTTTGCCTTTCTGAATAAAAAAAACTGCACTTTATGTGCCATTTTCACGATTACACTGCAATAAATAAGCCATGCACAAAGGCATCCTCCACGTCCTCCTCTTTACAGTTGGCCTATAAACGTCCATCTGGAATGACTTCAGAGTTTAAAGCAAGCCTGGAGAGAACGCTTATATTTCACTGAATGCAGTTTTTTTTATTCTTGTCTGCTATGAGCAACATAACTCAAATATACTGAGGGAAATACAATGGACCTTACTACTCCTAGTATCTAAAAAATGGAATTCATTGAAAACCTTACAAAACCCGCAATTTTTGGATATAAAATTCATGTTGCTTTCAGATGGTTTTCAGTCTTTATTTGATGATTCAAACACAAAAACATTCTGTCTGGGTAATTCCTGAATGACTCAGTGGCTCCTATGATTTATTTGAAAGAAAATTAAAATCTGAATAAAAAGCTCTGTGAGGTTTAAGTGTAGTCGTGTAGTGCTGATTTGCAACATTTCATGTATATACATTGTTCTTCTAGCTTTATAAAGTTGTGTGTAAATTCCTCTGCTACAAAGAACATGAAAGGATGTTCTATAGTAAACAGAGTTTGCATGTGGCATTAAAAAAATCTGTTACTGTACAATAAAAAATGTGCTCCTCTCATAAAAATATATAATAATGCCTTACAACCAATATGCAGCTCAGACAATAAAATTCTTTGTATGTAGATGTCAGAAGCCACTGGTTCCCTTTTGAGTTGGCTGTAGCGATGTATTTCAGTCCAATCAGGAGAGATTTCATTGAAAGAGAGGTTTAAGAGTAGTTAAATGCATGTTGTGTGCACAATAGGAAAAGTTGAAGAAATATGTGATGAGACTTCTGCGCTCAGACTCAATCAAAACGCCATCATTTTAAGCCATGAGCTGTACAGGAACACCCCAGTGGTGGAGTCTAGGTACCGGTGGTGGTGGTGGTGAAGGGGTGAAGAGCAATGGATGAATGTGATGTGGAACTGGACTTGTGGTGCACTGAGTAGAAGGACCCATGGAAACTAACTGTGATGAAAATGGGAGGTGAATGGGGTGAAGGAGGGTTACATCAATCTGACACTGAAGTGACAGCTGACAGCAGCAGAGAAAGAAAACAGTTTAAGCAACGAGATGACTGGCTCACTAAGGTGGTGAAAACATCGGATTGGTTTAGCTGTAAGAGTGAACGCCCTCAGGCAGCTGATTGAGCTGGAAGCGGGAAAAGGAAGAGAGAGAGAGAGATTTGCTAAGCTTCATTTATTAAACCTCTTGCAGCCCTCAAGAATTATTTAAGCCTTACACAATTTTACACACTTTAATTTTCATGGTCATAAAAATCAATTTTAAACACATAAATGGAATAGTGATAAGTACAGTTTTTAAGGCTCTTGGAGGAATAACGTGTATGTCTGAAAATAGCTATTTCATCAAAATCTTCTTGCTTGAAAATCAGCGTCTCTTCTGCACACAGGCTGTCACTTGCACTTTACATGTCAACTCCTCATCATTTTTTAAGAACGGTTAACCCAAAGGGAGCTGCCCCAGATGTCTGTGGTGAAACTGGATCCCTGATACAGTTGGAGTTGGAGTTTGACCTCTTCTGGTGGGAGATTACACCTGATTTCCTCACCAAAACAAAAGCTCATGCTTTATGTTCTGTCTCCCTCCCCCTGTCTCTCTCTCTCTCTGTTTCTTAGTGTGAACGACTGCATCTTATTTGTGAATGATGTTGATGTAAGGGAGGTGACACACAGCCAAGCTGTGGAGGCTCTTAAGGAGGCAGGTGCTATCGTCCGCCTCTATGTTCTCCGCAGAAAACCAGCAGCGGAGAAAGTCACTGAAATCAAACTCATCAAAGGACCTAAAGGTATGTGCAAGTGTGGACCGGTGTACAGCATCAACGCTTTTGTGTGGGCTTAAGGATCCTTTATACCCAGCTAAGCTGTGCCCTCTGGATTTAGCAAATCTGCTCTGTGTTAACCCATACCTCCTTTGCTCACTCTCTGCCTCTCTCATCACTCCCTTTTCTCAGGATTAGGTTTCAGCATTGCTGGAGGGCTGGGAAACCAGCACATACCAGGAGATAACAGTATCTATGTCACCAAGATCATTGAAGGCGGGGCGGCTCATAAAGATGGCCGCCTGCAGATTGGGGACAAGATCTTAGCGGTTGGTCACTCTTGTGTAATAACTAGCAGCATGCAAATATATATGCCCACGCAAATACACGTCACTGATAGCCTCAGACTCTCACCTTTAAACACAGATACACACATGCACACACATGCACACACTCACACATTTGTGTATATAGCAGCATTCATGTATCAAGTGCCAAGATAAATTACAGCTGTAATTTTCGAGGCCTGAAATTACTTTCATTAATATGTTAATAGATGTGTAGGATGGGATAAATGTTAAGCTGTAGTATTGCCACAAGTCTCAAGTAGCACTACTGCCATCTGCTGGAGAACAAAAAGACTGCAACATAGCAGCTGATGGCAAGCTCAACACCAGCAACCTCAAAATGGTGCTTGGTTTCTACTAAATGGTGTCTGAGCAAATGCTGTACCTCTAAATGGGATATGACAGCAGGCTTCTGCTGATTATGAAGCTGTTCAAAAATACATTTACCATCTATGACTATATTAAGCCATGAGTAATAATGTTCTTTTTGTAGTCTTCTTGACACACAGCCCTAGTTATGGGTGTGAATTTGCATATTACCTTTAAGGGCTAGTTTAGCTAATCTTTACTGTAAAAACCACCACCTCAATATTTCATTTTTTTTACAGTAATAAATAATACTGAATGATGATGTATCTATCAAACCTAATTAATGCAAAGCAATGTCTCTTACAACTTCTAGAGTAAGGAATACATTTACCATATATTTAGCAGTCAGTTTTACCTTCTGCATTATTTAAATCAAGGTATGTGGCTTGATAAATCAGTTAAAGCTCATTAATCTAGAATAAAAAAACAGACATTTTATTGTCAGTATTCCTCTTAAAGTCACTCATTCTTAACAGACCAAAATACATTTTAATTTCATTACTAAAATTGTGCGGCTGAATGTTGATCTAAAGTTGAGGTGTTGGTGTTGTCTAATCATAAATGTTGACTATCTACTATACAGCATTAATGTAAATATGCATATGTTAGTATGGGATAGGTGATCCAGTGTCATCTCTGTTCTGATGATTCAACTAGCAGCTCCCTTTCACACTGAGCACCGTAGTCTGTAGTGGATGATTCTGAATTGTCTTCCCTGCTTGTTGTGAACAACCAGGTGAACCATCTGGGTCTGGAGGATGTGATGCATGAGGATGCGGTGGGGGCTCTGAAGAACACAACCGAGGTGGTGTACCTCAGGGTAGCCAAGCCCAACAACCTGTTCCTGACCAACTCCTACAACCCGCCAGACCTCACCAGCAGTAAGCCCCTCTCTGTGTCACACTCTGCACTGTGTGTACTGGGTTGTGCCATGTGTTGCTAGCTAATATCACACCGAGTGTCCTGGCTTTAAGTAGATGTATTTACAAGAATGTACAAAAATTTGATTTTTTTCTCCAGACTTGAGCAGAAGTCAGCAGAAGAAATAGAGTCAAGGGAATAGCATTTCTTTCTAGAGATGACTGTGGGAGTTCTGTGAAAAACTTCCTTGACCTGAATCCCCCTCTTGATGAAAGTCTGCCCTTCTAACGAAAACATAACTAACTAAAAATGCCATTTTTGCAATAGGCTTTCGTGAGATTATTATGGAGAAGAAAATATCACATTCCACAAGTGCATTTAGTTGGTGGAAAATCCAACGTTCAGAAGTTTGCTGCGTTAAGATATCTTTGTACAACACCTGCAACATTATACCGCTTTTGGTTTTGTGTGTATTTTTACAGCATATTCCCATATGGATACTGAACTCAGCCACCCCAACTACCTTGGGTCAGATTACCCACAAGCCCTCACTCCCACCTCACCTAGTCGGTTTTCTCCCGTTCTGCATGGCATGATGGGAGATGATGACATCCCCAGGTGAGCAATGCTCCTTCAGCTGAACATTTACCTGCACTGTATACTGATTTATTATTAGCACTAGTAGAAGTGGGATTAGTGGTGTTAGTTTTACAGTTTGTATTGTGCATAGTATTATTGATAACGTGACTGTCGGCTTTCCTATCTCCTCCATCTCTTTTCCAGGGAGCCTCGCAGAGTTTTGATCCACCGAGGCTCCACAGGTCTGGGATTCAACATTGTTGGAGGAGAGGACGGAGAGGGAATCTTTATCTCTTTCATCTTGGCAGGGGGGCCAGCTGACCTCAGCGGAGAGCTGCACAAGGGCGATCAGATCCTCAGCGTAAAGAGACTTTTATCTTCATAAAATTGTCACACACACACACATGAATGCATTCTACAGTGGCACCAAGTGATTTTTTCAGTGGTAGTGGTTAACAGACATCCTGTGTGTGTGTCAGGTGAACGGCGTGGATCTGCGTATGGCCACACATGAACAGGCAGCTGCGGCATTGAAGAATGCTGGCCAGACAGTGACCATCATCGCTCAGTACAGACCCGATGGTAAAGCTGCAACCTACACAACAAGCCTTCAAACGGCGATTTCTCATTTCTAATATTATACAAAGTTTCAAGGGATTTGCTCTAGTCAGGTGTCTTTAAGGTCCAGCGTGTAACATTTAGGATGGATCGCCTGTATTGGCAAAAATGAAATATAACATTCACAGGCTTTTATTAGTGTATAATCACCTGAAAATAACAACTGTTGTGTTTTCATTACCATAGAATGAGCTATTTTTATCTAGAGAGGAAGCAGGAACTTCCATGGAAGCCAGCATGTTGAAATGCCATGTTTCTACAGTAGCCCGGAACGGACAAATCAAACACTGGCTCTAGACAGTGGTATTCAGTTCTGCAAATTCAAATCAAATCTACTTGTTACTAGATTTTTAGTAGGAGTCATTTGAATAGTGGTTTTACTTTGTTACCAGTGCCACGTCCCATTTGTCATTTGTTTGTTTATTGAGTATTTCATTAAATAAGGTGGAAATAAGGGCAAAGACACAAGCAAAATCTGTTTCATTCACTCTTTGGTATGGCAGCTGACTTTTTAGTGCCATAAACATCCCTTGCCTCACGTAACCTTACATAAAACCGTCCACATTAGTTCTGTGCAACAGGGTATACAGATTTTAAATTTGGTAAAAATAGAGGACTGGTATGACATTAGTACTCTTAGTTTAGGTATTCAAATTGCTTTTAGGAGAGAAAAAGTTAGATAGGTGCAAATCTATTACCTATATGCATCTGAGTGTAGACCAAAATATCCTTACGTGTTTGTATTTTTCTGTTTCAGAGTACAGCCGTTTTGAGGCTAAAATCCATGACTTGAGGGAACAGCTGATGAACAGCAGCATGGGCTCTGGGACCACAACGCTAAGGAGCAACCCAAAGAGAGGCTTCTACATCAGGTCTCACACATAAAGTAGAAATAGTAACACTGGCACAGTATGACAGAGATCCAACAGTGGTTTCCAGAGGAGGCTTTTAGGTCAGCGTAACCTATAAAGCAGAGGTCCACAGCTTCTGGCCAACAGTAACTGCGATTACGTTTCTACCTTTGCCGTTTGCCTAATTCAAAGAATTTAAAATACGTAGGCCTGAGTTTAATTAAATGAAGCCAAAACAAATGTCAGTGCTATGCTTTGTTTAAGGAGCAGTAATCTGACGTTAGTTAGCTAATGATCAACGCAGCCAATTTGAGACCACACATTCTTAGGTGTGACATTACTGAATTGCTCTGCATACAATCTTGGTCAATTTAGTCATCATTTGAACAAAGCCAGGCATTCACTAAAGTGCTGTTGGGGCTATTTGTTTTTTTTAATGAATTAAACAGGAACCCTTTATAGATCTCAAATCTTGGGTTTTGAAAGTGAGAATATGATTTATTGACGAGAGAAGGGATAGGGAAGAGGGAAGTTGTTTAATAGGGAAAAAAACTGTACAAGTAGAATAACCTCGCACTACAAGATCATTAAAGCAATGGTATATACTCCTTTAAAAGCCTCATGGAAAGCAGATTCATTTTTTGTTTGTTTGTTTATGCCTGAATCACTGGACCAGTACTGCACTGCAGACAATCCTGAGCAGCACAAGTACGGTTTTATACACTAATAACTAACTAATACGGTCAAGATTCATGTCGTAGTTTATGCTAGTTCATGGCTTAAAACTTTTAATAAAGGAGATTTCTGAAACACAGACTGTGTACAATAAAGATACACACTGTAAAGGAATAAATAACATACATTTACATAATATGGTAAGCCTCTTTCAGAGCTAAACTGTAGGCTATACAGTCCAACAAAGACACTACATACCACAGACAGTACAACTCACTGTGGCTTTACTAGCAGATTCAGGACATCCAAGCCCATACTAGGTTTATCACTAATACTAGTAAAACGCCTTTGCACTACAGCGTTCACTATGATTTACACTTAAGATGAAAACTAAATAAAATGCTGTAGTTCACCATAATAGTTCAGTTACACAATAAGGCCAAAAGGCTAAAATGAGACTGCAGTGATCATCCCAAGCATATCACTTTACACGCAAAGTAGTGTAAATACAGTGATACAGACTCATGTAACGTTACTGTCACAGTAATCACTACAGCAACCAGTGTGACAGTAACTCAAGTTTCTGAAAATAAAGATATGAATGTATAATAGAAGGTATGCCTATAATAACTAATAGCAATCTGTGCAGCCAGTTAAAACAGACAACCCTGCCACACTGAGCAAATATCCAATCACCAAACCATATCACACTGCAAAGGTAAAAGGTAAAAGGGACTCACCTTTAGCTTAGCTACAACTTGTCCTGGTCCAGGTGTAGCTCACAGTCAGCAGAGACAGGACCATGAAGACAGTCTGTTCTGGGGCGTGATATCCGTCCTGGGTGTCTCAGGATACAAAATCCATCGACTGACAGCAATAAAAGCTCGGACATAATGTCTCCCCCGTATCTTGGAGTGTGAATATTACAGTGAATATACTGTAATCCTGCTACTGCTTAGCTGTCCTTGACATTTTATTATAGTTTCCACCTCCAAAACTCCCGCCATCCCAGTGGAGTTGCCGTTCATCCTGCCTCTTCTGTCTTATTTTTGCTGTAGCAATCTGAAATTTCCCAGAAGACGGTAGCTTTGCGGCTATAAAGTGTTGTCTGCGGTTGTTGTGATAAACTACATCCGCCCGACTTTAACGTGACCGTTGCTAACGTTACCATCTTCCTTGCTGTTGGCAGTTGCTTGCTTCAGTTAACTGCCGTTGGAAAACGTTAGCTCCGCTCCCGCTGACGGTGACGTCACGGCAGCCGTTACAGGTAGTCAGTGTTTAACGAAGACTTGTTCATCAGATGGAGACTGAAAATATTAATATTTATAAGGTAGGTGAACTTCTCAGCAACAGCTCAGCAGGATTTACGCCAGTATCAGCGGTATCAATTAACAAACATACTTATTCTGCGAAGGGAAAGTGGCGGGCTACAAACCAACGTTAAAGGTGTACGCCGCCACCTACTGTATCGGAGTGTGTAAAATCATTACTTTATTGAAATTATATTTTGTATATTACACCTGTTTCATTTAAGTGTTTGATTAAACCCTTTGAAACTGTATTTGTTTGTCCCCTATGGGGGCCAATCATGACGCAAAACATGTGTAAGTCCAAGATGGCGCAGGATTTCTTCCTCGCTCAGTAACTGAAGTCGTGCACAGACGCAGAGTGCTCAGTGCTGCCTCTGGTGATATATGTTAGTCACATCATGTGTCTTTTAAACAATAAAAAAACCATGTTCCTGGAGGTTTCACTCCCTTTTGTCAGATACATAATTATGTAGACTATTCTAACGTTAATAAAATCGTAACCAGCCACATTCCTCCTGTGTGGTTGCAACTTTATCATAATTTACACAGACATTTGGTTACATCTTGAATTTTCTACTCGACGTTACAACTCTGCTGTTTGATGGACATTCATTTTCCATTACTGGGTCTGCTTGAACACAGTGGATTCTTGCATTTAAAGAAGCAATTCAGTCTAAAAAGCTACAATATACTCTGTATAGAGTATGTGTAAAATAAATTGTGAATATGAGGATACTTACACAAAATGTAAGAAAACTGTTCATTATATTGGTTAAATGGAATTTAAAATACTTTTTATTAAATGGCTGATTTGAAGTCTTTGATCACTCAGGGCCCTTTTTGACTATGACAAGACTGCGGACTGTGGCTTCCTCAGTCAGGCATTGGGCTTCAAGTTTGGGGATGTGCTGCATGTGTTGGACTGTGGAGACGAGGAGTGGTGGCAGGCCCGTAAGGTCAGCCCCCAGAATGAGGCTGAGGAGGTCGGCTTCATCCCCAGCAAGCACAGGTCAGACACACTGTGAGTGAGCCTGGGAGAGATTATTATCATCTTTTACTTTTACACTTTGATTAAACCTTTCTATTCTGTGTGTGACTAAAAATACACACGCAAAATGTAACATGTTTGTTCTGTTTCTACAGGGTGGAGAGAAAAGAGTGGTCTCGTGGTAACACCAAAGAGAGGGTAAGTTCATTCGCCAGAGCTGTTTGAGAGACTGGTTCTCTCAGATTGTTTCCCAGTGCATAAATCTCTGCTCTGGTTTCTGTTGCAGGACCATGGTCGAGACAGCTTGAGCACTCAAGGTAATTACAGTGAAGCATAAATGAAATATTGCCCGTACGAGCTATCGTTTACACATGTAACTGACTTTAGCTGATTACAGTTAACACCGCGGTAATGGGAGGACACAGCAACATAGGAACACGATTTTCTGACACGTGCACAAACAATATCTTAATGTTTTATTTACATACACCTAATATAAATGTTTATAAATAAAAAACAGACACAGGATCCTGATTTGTGTATCGATGACAAGATTAATAGCTCAACCGAAGGTGCAAGTAGCAGCGCATCCTGCAAATGTGTTAACTGCCAATAACTGAAGCCACAGAGCGGTCCCTTTACCCTACTCTTTGGCATTGCTGTCATCACCACTTGCCTCACTGCCAATTTGCCGACATTACACAGACTGCCAAATGTAGACACAAGCGGTCTTCATTCACACTTTCTTTCCGGACTGTACTTCAAAGCACACCTCACCTCCAACAGAGTCAAGTGTTTTTGTCAATAACAACAGGTAATGTCTTAGCGACGACATTTAAAAGTATATCACATTCAGTACACACAAATACAGACACACACAAATGCAGAACCATAAACCTAAATGTCATTTATAATTGTAAAAAGAAATTTGGCTGAATGCTTCTGTGTTCTGTCACCAGGGAGAGATAAAACCACACACAGTTATGAGACCGTCACCCAAGTGGAAGGTAAGATCATGAAGGCATTTATTTAAGGCTTTTATACTTAATTAAATAGTTGTTTTTATTTTCATTTTCTGAAAGCTCCTAATCTCTTTCCTCTCTCTTTCTCTTCGCACTTATAAGTTCATTATGCGAGGCCCATCATCATTCTGGGTCCTGTGAAAGACAGAATAAATGATGACCTGTTGTCTGAGTTCCCTGATAAGTTTGGATCTTGTGTCCCACGTAAGTAATTATGCTGTCAGTCACAGAGCCTGATCCATTCCCTGGCTTTTTATTTGGTGTCACTGCCACCTGCAGCCATTTTAGGGTGATGTCTGCATAATACATCCCTCCCAGAGAAGTCATTGATTCAAATTAAAGACATTAAAGAGATTCAAAGCGTTGTGAGTGTATGTGCTGCTTTTATTGTTTTGTTCTTTGCCTGACAGACACCACGCGGCCCAAGAGGGAGTATGAGGTGGATGGGCGGGACTATCACTTTGTGTCGTCACGGGAACAAATGGAGAAGGACATCCAGAGCCATCGGTTCATCGAGGCGGGCCAGTACAACAGTCACCTGTATGGCACCAGTGTCCAGAGTGTCCGCGAGGTGGCTGAGCAGGTGCGCAGCAACAATTTGTACCAGGAGGTTGATGGAAATAAAATCCTTGGGTTCATGAGTTTTTTTAAACCCTTTTTGGTCACTGGCTTAATTATATCCTCCTCTTATTACTAACTAATTATTTGTACTAGAATTATAAGTTCAGGCACAAGAATATTATTTGATTAGGATGAATTTATCAGTGATGGAAATTACTTTTAATTTCAATAATGTGTTCAGAATGTTTCATAAAAGCCATACTCCATTAGAGAAAAGAGAAGAAATAAGCCTCAATAAGCGTCATTTGCTTAACTGGCAATTTACTCAAAGTCGTTACTAGAATGAACAGTTTGTGTTTATTAATCCTTATCGTTTCTTTCCCTGCTTGTGCGCACAAGTAGCAGGGGAAACACTGCATCCTGGATGTATCGGCCAATGCTGTGCGCAGACTACAAGCGGCTCAGCTTCATCCCATCGCCATCTTTGTCCGGCCCAAGTCACTGGAGAATGTCCTGTACGTACTGCAGAAGTTCTTCGTACATTTTTAAATCTTTGGCACATCTTGGTAATGTGTGTTATAGTAAAGATTTTGTGTACAATGTTAACAGTGAGATCAACACTCGCCTGACAGAGGAGCAGGCCAGGAAAGGAATGGACCGAGCCCTCAAGCTAGAACAAGACTTCCTAGAGTGTTTCTCAGGTAAGAGATGTGACACAAACACACACACTGTCTACACACCCCATATACTTACTGTGGGTTTGGATTATTGCAGCACCAGATGGTAAACGTGAGCAAATACACCTGAATTTGCACTCCAACTGTATGCCTTTTCATTATCTATTTGATGTGGAGTGCAGATCATCAAAATCCTCCATTTTATGGTTACAAAGATTTTAGAAACAACAGATTGTCCATATTTTCGGTTCATTGCTGGTGCTCATGAGCACACTTCAGAGGGTGATGAAGATGTGCATTTAACTTTATCACTTTTTTCTCTTTTTTATTGGTGCATGCCAACAAATGCCGATGATAAAACAAGGCCTCCTTCCACAAAGATGAACTTTTCTGTATTGCTGCCAGAGCTGAATGAGTTAGATAAGAAAATGAGTGTCTTCTGGGAGGATTTGAGGCAAATCACAGCAGGCAACGGAATATGAATGTTAGGTTTCCTCACCAATCCAGTGCTGTCTACAATTTATAACAAATCTGCAACAGCTGTCATATGTGACATTTCATCAACCACTGAAAAAAAAAAATATGTGTGAGACTCTCTAGAAATACGTAATGGAAATTAAAATGTTGACCATGTGCGAACATCAAAATTGTATTCATAATTAATTGTTCCTCACATCCTTTCCTCTGTCCTCTGTCTCTGACTTCCTCCCCACCCCCTAATGATTACACTTTTTCTGCTTCTCTTTCCTTGCCACCGTCTCTGCCATTTTTTTCTCCCTCTTTGTTTTCTCTCAAACATCCTGTGTCTTGTTGCAGCTGTCGTGGAAGGGGACAGCTTTGAAGAGGTCTATCACAAAGTAAAGACAGTGATCGAGGAGCAATCAGGGCCTTACATCTGGATCCCCACTCGGGAGAGGCTGTGATGCTGCACTCGCCCAACCACCCCCTTCCTCACAACCACCGACCGACACCACCCTTCACCCTCACAGCCAAGCCAGCCTCGCCTGCCTGTCTGTCCTCCAGCAAAGTCAGTGCTTAGGCAATCACTGAGAATGACACAGAGAGACAAATGCATACTAAGACAAACACAGAGACAGAGACAAACACAGGAAGTGACACAGCGAGGCAAAGAGCGATACCAAAAAAGAGACTCTGAGACAGATGTGAACGCAGTGATGTGTAATTAAGACTGAAAGAGACTGAGAGAAAAGGCTTAATCAGTATTCCACTTTAATGAGGCATAGTTTTGAGGCCCTGTTCACACTTAGCATTAAAATGCATCTTGGCCACAAGTGGACAGCTCCAAATACAGCTGTGACTGCATCCAAAACTGGGGAAGCCAATGTCCTAAATGCAGCTGATTTAGCGCTGCCAAACAACTTAGTGCGTAATGTGTAGTTTTCCTGTTAGGATGCAGTTGCAGTTTCCCAACACACAAAAGCAAACGGGAAGCGAAATCCAATCACAAGTGATTACTTGAGAGATTTCAGATGCATTCTGATGCCAGGTGTGAACTGCAGTCCATGTCATCAGGATCTCAACACAGTCTGGATATATCTGGACACAAGACTATAGGTCTGAACAGGGCTTGAAAGAGAGCAGAGGTTGACCCAGCAGGGATGGACCCTGAGGTAGTATTAAGACCACCTCATCCTCCCCACCTCCTCTCAAGTCTCACGCCCCCATTGAGCACCTCCATGCGCCTTTGTCTCAGACAGTGTTGCTCAAAAGAGACACTGGCCACTCTTTTTATGTCACCTCCTGGCTTTCTCTCCTCCTCCTCCTGTCAGCTCTGCCTTGTTTCAGGACAGGAAAGGGGGAAGACTGAGAACGGGGCGCCCAGATCCTGCTGAGGGGGGTCTTTTCTTGGCAAAGAGTCCTTTTTCTTGTGAATCTCCTCTTGGTTCTGAGGGTGAACTCAGAATAACACCTCAGTGACCAAGACTGACATTTGCTCAATCACCCCATGTTGAATATTGCGAGGCATTATTTAAAGGCAGTTCAAATAATTATAATGATAAAAGCTCATATGCTGAATTTGTGCATGCATCCTCAAAGACAATGGAGACAAAAACAATGGAAAAATCTGACTAAAAAAAAAGGCGAGAAAGTAGGGTGTGTTCTCCTTCTCCACCTCCTTATTGTGGAGGAGTTTTTTAGCATGTCTCATGAAGGAAGAAGAGAAGAGAGACATGGTCATGAGATATGGTCATATGGAGAGGCCAGTCCTGAGCTCAGTAGATGCTCTGACTTACAGTTTAGCCTCTGCTCTCTTACGCACACACACTCACGCACCCATACACAAACATACCCATACACACTCACACCCATCCACTGGCACATACACACACATACACACACACACGTAGAGTTGTAACCTCAGCTGTAATCTAGCACACTCCTCTACCAGGGGAAGGGGGGGTGGACTGGCTGTTCTGACCTGCTAGTCAGAATCCTGGATGAATGTTATCTCTCTAGGCACAAACAGCAGAGCTGTTAGCTTCATCACCGGCGACCAACTCACCGATCACTCTTCCAAAACAATCCCTCAGCCGCAGACGTACACACTGTTTCCAGTGGCCGCAGTAAAAGCCATGGCGTTTGTGTGTGTGTGTCTGTGTGCGTTTGTGTGCGTGTGTGTATGTGCGCGTGGGTCTCCGTGTGTGCGCATATGTGCACATCCATGTGTGGAAACTCCTCTGTGTGGGAGGAATAGGTCTTCTTTTATTCTCTCTCTTCCACTTTTTCTCTGCTTCTTTCTCCCTCTTGTGTCCACACAAATTAAAGCTAAGTCATGTTTAACAAATAAATGGCCTATATATATAAATATAAATATAAATATGAATATAAATATATATATATATATCTTTTTTATGACAATTTCTAACGGGACTAAGTCTGTAAAAATCAACATCTCCAAACAATATTCCATTGATTTCTTTGGGTAATATTGCAGTTTGGTTGTTGAATTTACTCACGTTCCCATTTTATTGTTGTAAAACGCAGCAAAAATCTACACAGAAATAACTGAACAGTTAAAGTCAATGTAAAGCAGACCTCACACTAGAGCTTTGAACTGACATATTTGACATATTCTTGTGTACGTTGAAAACGAATTGAAACAACATGTACAATGCAGCCGTGTGTGTCTGTGTGACTGTGTGCGCGTGCCTACTACGTGCGTTTGCTGCTTGTGTGTGCGTGGGTGACAAGAAAGCGTGCGTTGTGTATGAAATATAAATGATACTATATGAGAATATCTATCCTTTATAACATCCACTGGTGGTTATAATGTATAATACATAAATGGGTGGTGTGCGTATGTGTGTGTGCCAGAGCGAGAGAGTGAGACACGCACATGAAGATGTAGTGCAATACTGCTATGATGTTATGCAATGAAGATGGTTCTACGTGTGTCTAAGATTAAAACAGTATTTATAAAGTTTGCACTGACTGCATCATATGCTACAGGTATCAGTGAGAAACGGACGTGAGCAAAAGGACTCCAAGGTTTTATGAGCATGTGTTTGTGTTTACTTATAATTTGTTCTGAATTATAAGAGTGAAGGTGGAAGTATTGATGGAAGTGACCATTCATATTTATTGTTTGTTTATTTTGGCTCACTTGCTTTCTCTCGGCTCAAGGTGGAACAGCTGGAGTCTGCTGAGTGACAAGTATCAATTTCTGTTTTTGTTTTATGATTTACTATTTATTTAGAACTGTCACCGGTTCCATCTCAAGTCTGTATATTTTTGTATTTGTTTTGGGGGTTTTTTCCACATTGAGAGAGCTTTTGGGTCTCGGCCAGAAATGCTGTAAATACAATAGAGATGTTGGAGTGCTGTGTGGCTTTAGGTTTAGCCGTGCACACTGCTGAATTGTGAAAAAGTACAGAATCCATCAGAGCCACAGCCCAGTTAAACTGCTCAAACACAGAAACAACATCTGCACGCTCCGAGTGGGCAACACACACACACACACACACACACATACACACGCACACACAGATTTCAGCACATTCATTTACATTTACACAATGAGAGAATCACAGCAACAGCAACACATGACAACACATCCATGAATGGAGTAATATGTTTTCAATTTCTTTATTTGAGGGTTCAATGTATTTCTTAATATCTCTCTCAGCCATCCGTATCATAGTGTGATATTCCTTATAAAATATATGAATTTTTACAGAAAAGACTGATTACAAAGTTACAACAAAGTCAACTGATGCAGAAAAATATATTTAACAATGACAATATCAAGCAAAATAAAATGTTCCAGTTCAGTGAAGCGCTTGTTGTAAATTAGCTATAAAATAATAAAATGAATTTAAAAATGCTTTCTGAAAATGGACTCGGCAGCCTTGTTTTTTTGTTGTTTGTCTGTGTTGATAATTTGATGTTCCACAGGTGAAGGCTGCAAGAAAACGTCAGTGTGGCCAGCGGAGGGCACTCATTCTCCATTGTCAGTGGCTTATACAAGCTCCTTTGAGCTGCATTTGCACATACTTTGTGTGGCTCTTATTCGCCAGTCGCTCCCCCGCCTCCCCCTTTCTCATCAGGGGAACCATTTTCTCTTTAGAAAAGCACACAGTGAGGACCCTTTTGTTTGATTGCATGTAATGTTATAGTGTGTGTGTGTGTGTGTGTGTGTGTGTGTGTGTGTGTGTGTGTGTGTGAACATCCAGACACTCACACTGTGTACGCGGCTGCCATGATCCTATATCCCTAAGCCTCTGGCTTGGAGCATATTTGTCCAGTTTTTAAAAGCTGAATCTGTGATTCAAATGTAAACAAATTGTTTTCCGAGGCTGTGTGCTCATGATTTTCTCAAATCAACATTTGAGAAATCTCAACATTTAGAAGGATCTATTGGCAAATGGAAAATAATATTTATAGGTGTGTTTTCATTCGTGTACCTGAATATAATCTTTGTGTTTTGTAAACTTAGAATGAGCTGTTTTTATCTACAGACACCGCAAGTTGCCTTCTGTGGAGGCCACCATGTTGAGCCGCCATGTCTCTACACTAGCCCAGAACAGTCAAACCAAACACTGGCCCTGGATAGGGCTGTTCGTGTTAGGGTTAACGTGTTTTGCAGCCACTGTTTCTCCCTCACACTTTGAAGGGGAGGGCGAAGCAAGTGAGTTGCAATTTGCATCCACATTGCTAGATGCCACTAAATCCTACACACTGGACCTTTAAAGAACACACAAATGGCAGATTCAACCCAAAGTCTTTATGTTTCGAATGACTACTTCAAATTTCTAGAGTCGCAAAAATACTGCTCCTTTAAAATTCCACTTTAAAACTAGATAGGCAATTGAGAAATAACAAGCTCTTGAAACCTGTTAAACCTTACTTACCTCACCTCACCTTTCCAACCACAGAACTTCTTTTTAAAAGCTTGTGTAAATCCCAAACTTTCCTAAAATACCAAACATGTCAGGCTTAATCCGGGGGGACTGTGTATAAAATGATCCACAAACTATCTTGAGCAGACATAAGAAACATGGAGCCTTGGGTTTTATTGCGCACTGTGTACACATATAGCTTTACTGAAGAGCGTGAACAAGCTCTAACAGTGTGGAATGAGATTATTTTCACATCCTTAAATCTGGGAATGGGAAATGTGTATGTTTGAAGGTTTAACATGACTGAAGTACATTACACATCTATTTATCCAAGTTATTTCAATATCTTATTTTTATTTCAAGTGGTTAAGAAAATGGATATGAGGTGTTTCACTCCTGAAACATCAATCACCTGGTTGACAAGAGCCTGGCTTCTGCTGTATTACACCAACTGAAAGTGATAGAAAGGATTTGACAGATAGGGGAGGGAACATCCATCAAAGGTCATAAACAGGATTTGAAGCTGCAAATTGGTATGTAGTATCTAAGGCCTTACATCCCTCACATGTTTCTGTTATCCTCCTACCAGCCATTAACAGGTGTCTACTGCATACAGGGCATGTAATGCATCTACCCACAAGCTGGTGGAAGAATGCACGCTTGGATCCTAGAGCAAGACAGATGCTTGACAGATGGATTGTTGAAAAAAAAAAAAAGCCAAATTAATGTGGTTACTTTAAAATTAGAACTTGAAATTTCCCCCAAAGTATCTGACTCACTGGGTAAACTCTCTCTTTAATCATTATAGTGATTCATGTTTTGAAAATCTTGAAGTGAATGTCACAGATGTGCCCACAATCCATCGCAGGCATCCCATTTTACTGCCAGGGCAGACAGTCATTTTAAACTAAGGAGGAATGAGGAATGAATGCTTCCAAATGGAATAATTAAATCAAGCCAGTAATTAGAATCAAATTTCACTCCAAACTTGATGAAATGGGGGAAGCTGTCGGAGGGAAAATTAACAGGATAATTGTCAAATGGTTCGATCTCACAACTCTTAGCGGGATCAAGGTGATAGTCGTTAACTGTTGCAAGTCGCTCCCATTTCTGAATCATCAGCAATTATTCTCAGCCTGTTTCACAATAGGCTGATAATTGAGGAATACTTCTTTACGTCTACTGCCGGGGTCCAGAACTGCAGTGACAGGGCTGGTTTTGGATGAAAGAGCAGCTGACGCATGTGTCTTGTGAGTGTTGGAGGGAAGGCTCAACAGAGAAATATCTCAAAGCATTCAAAGCAACCTCAGAACCGTTCATATACCTCTGCACGGGAAACCAGTAAAGCATTACAGTACAACGCAAGCTTCACACAGCTCAAAGCCAATATTATCAGAGGACCTGAGGACACACCAGCTGATGTGTTTCAAACATCAGTCATCCTTGAACCTTTACTTTTACTGGCTTGCAGTACACGCCCCAGACGTCTAGAGGATCACATTAAAGAGGAAAATTCGCACATATGAGTGGTGCTGGGAAAATTTGCAGTACATAGGTCCACATAGTTCATTACATTTACAAAATGCGTCTGTACCTTTCCATTGCATGAGATATCAAATGGGTGTGCCTGTATTCTTCTCCACACATTTAATTCTTTGGTCAAGGTAATCCTCTTAGATCCAGGATGATTATACTGCAGACATGTTTCTTCTAGACATCAGGATGTTTCAAAAACTGCAATTGTTAGTCACCAAGCCTCAGTGTTCTTCCCAGAGAAGACGTTTCAATCAGTCTACCAAACACTTTGGCTACGCACAGGAGGATGTCATCATCATTTGTTACTTTCATTACACTATGACAGCTACAGCCTGGAGTAAAGGATCAAACACAGATCCTTTCCATGTTCGTACTTTATTATTCATTTCAGCCTGCTGTGCTTCCTACTCACTGACTCTTCGTCCCCTCTATTCGTTCCTCCACACGTGAGGCCCCAGCTGGCACCCATCAAACTGTTTGTGTAGGACAACTGGAGTTCAACTCTTTTGTTTGGATCTTCTGCTGTGTTAGTAAATCTGGATGATGTCACCTAGGCTGCTTCACCGCTCTTCATCCACGTATCAGACGGATTGCATAAAGATCAAATGATTCATCCTCAGATTGGTGTGTGGCAGGGTGTGGTGCAGGGTTTTTTGTCATTAAGATGCTGCATTATGCTGCTTTAAAAGAGCTGCCTTTTTTTAGGTTTATAGACCAAGATAATACCGACTCCCGTGGTTTTGTGCCAGAGCTCTTAGAGTGATGTTGGATTAAACCTAATGGGTTCTTCTGCCTTTTTCTGACACTTAAAGGCTTATTATTGTAAACTGGCAGAAAACACCACTGTGTAGCCAAACCTGCCACAGATGATATTTCTATACAGAAATTTAGTGAGAATGAAATGAAATGAAAAGGATTGTGAGTTTTGGCATATTTATGTCTGTTGAAATAAGTCTATGCCCATTTCACTAATTACAACATGGCATGTTGGCTTCAAAAGAATGTTACCTTCTGCGGTTAATATTTAACAACCTTGAAATTAATCGAAAATGACAAATTACAAAGATTTTGGTTTTGCACAGTGAGGTTTTACCAACCAAGAGAATGACAGCAGTTTTAAAATACACCCTTCTGGTATCACTTTATAAGCTGCATCTGCATTGACAGGGCTTAACCCATGAAGGCTTATAATGTCACCAAATGCACCTTTTTATTTTGCACTGATGACATATTTGAAAATTAGGATGATGGCATACAGGAATTTGCCAGCGTTAGACTTTTAAAATGTATTGGATAATACACCTACAGTTTGTGCTTATAAATAATACATCAAATACCTAAAATACATTTAAGGAAACTGTACCAGATAGGTGCTGCTGGAAAAGAAAAGATAATGCAAACATACAGACTCTGGAGGACATTAGAGGCAGTGTTTCATAAAGTGACAAAACGGAAGCAGAAATCATCCTGTAATGAGTCAAGAAAGGAGCTCCTGTATTGTTCTACAAGAAGGTTGGCAAAGATAATGTTCATGTGTATTTTTAACAATTGTTCCTGGGGTGCAATTAGTGCACTGTCAGATACTTTTAACTGTTTAGCTCATTCCACGTCTCGCATCTATGCCCAATCTAAAAGGATGCAAACAGTTCAGCTGACTTCACACTGTGTTGCTACATTTAAAGAAAGAGCTTTTTATGTAGTATGGAAAGAATACATGGACAAAGCTTCATGCAACCAGGGGCGGCTATAGCTCAGGTAGAGGGGGTTGGGCCATTGGTGGTTCAATCCCTGGCTCATCCTGACCACATGCCAAAGTTCTCTAAATCCAAACAACGGCCCACAATATGCTTGAGGAGACAAGTCTAAGAGTTTATAGCCATGCAAGTGGCTCTGTGATGCCATAGTTAGGCACAACGCTGCTTTGAGCTAGATGCTAATATTAACATGTTAACACACCCACAGTCATAATACTAACAGCAGTTTAGCAGGTATAATGTTTATCATGTTCACCATCTTATTTTAGCGTGTTTGCATGCTAACATCTGCTATTTAGCTTCAAACACAAAGTACTACCGAGACTGATGGGAATGTCATTAGTTGTTTTTTATTTATAGATATTCTTTGGGAGGGGGGCTTTGCCTTGAGAGGGGTTAACACGCAGCAAAGGGCCACAGGTCAGACTTCCACACATGGCCGCTGCAGCAAGAACTCAGCCTTGGTACATGGGTTGTCAGCTCTAGCAGATGAACTACCAGAGCGACATGTGAGAATGTCATTAGTTAAATATTTGATCAAAAACCAAAGTACTGGATAAAGTAAGTGTCCCTTCTGGGCTACTGTGGAAACATGGTGACTCAACATGGCAGACTCTATGGTAGAGGGAGACCCACGGCATCTGTAGATATAAACAGCTCATTCTAAGGTTACAAAAACATAACAATTCCTACATTCAGGTGATTCTATACTAATGAAAACATACTGTATATTATATTACATTTCTGCCAATAGAGCCTTACAGACTGGACCTTAACTCAGAATGATTGAACACGGAGCCATGAACGTCTAGTAGATGAAGAGATATTTCACTGGATAAGTAAAAACTTTGACCTGCTGTTGGCACTAAATGAAAAGTACCCCCTACTTATTATCAAAGTAATTGGGATTCATCTTCTGGGTACCATGAATGTTAAAAATGACATGGAAATCCATTCGCCATTCCTTACAGCAACACAGCCATGGCTAAAGCTCTTTGTCTTTTTGGTCTTTAAAAAATGTGATCAACTGTGATCACATGGTCACATTCCAGCAGCCACAGCAGTTTGGTTAAGGTAAGGGATATATCATGGTTACAGTCACCTGATTCAACAAAGTTTGTCCAACTTCTTCTTCTCATTTTCTTCAATCTGTGTCTTCCTACTCTTGTAGGAGAGACCCTCCCAAACCAGCCAAACCAATCTTACAAAGCTGTACCTTCTAACAGGCTTTCAACAATGTGTGACAATCAGTAAAGCAGGGATGACAAGCACTGTGTGCACAAACAGCTGATGAATAGCCTTGTTTTCTCCCACTGGTAGGTCACTCAGATCCCAAAGCTCTTCTGTCTTACACTCGAGGGGTTCTTCAAATTATAGACTAAGCGTGAAGAAGAAAAATGAAACCACCCAAGGATATTTCTCTGTGTCGTTTGCTTCACAATTGTTTCCTGTTGAGGTTCCCACTGCAGCTTGCCAGTGCTGGACGTGAGAGCCTGATTAAAGCGTGTAAGAGTTTCATGCACTGCATACAGTAAATGTGACAGAATTGGTGAGTTGAATACTCCTAAGCATCGCCCTTATGCATGCTGTTTTAAGTTTCTATCCACTTATATAACACATTAAAATTAACAAAGGAACAGGAAGGAAAAGAAAAGAGAGTCAGGATGAATTGAAGAACTTTCTTACTGACTTCACATACTCTCTTGCGCCGTGTAGATTTTATCACAGTCGGATGTTTGTACATTTTCAGATTCCTTCTTCTGCAATTTTGGGAGATACAGCATGGCACAGCATGGCAGCCTGTGGTGACGTCGATAGGATGGAGAAATTGAATGTAACTCAGAGCTTTGCCCAATTATTCTGCTTTATAGACAGTAACAGCAAAAAAAAAAAAAAAAAAAAGAGACAATAAAAAACGTAACAACATAAGTTTTGAGAAACACCACAAGAGAACAAGAAAAAACGGCCTCGACTTGCCAAAATTAAACATTGGTGTGGCCTTGTTAGTGAGCTAGAATTGCAAATGTCTTATTTACATTTTGTCATTTAGACTTAAAATTAGCATTTTCTCTTATTTATGCCGCCGTCTCCCCCAGATCTTCTTCAAAAAGTGATTCCATTCAGGTCCCCTTGAGGAAAACAGCCATTAATTAAATAAGAAAATAGGATGTGCTGCAACACTGATGTAATGAATTGGTAATGTTATGGTTCTCATTACACATGCTGTGCTCAGATGGCTAGCTGCAGAACAATATGTACATTTAAGAGAGAGCTGTCATAAACCATACATATTTTGTTTTTTAAAAGATGTGATAGCTAATTTCTAATGCTAATCGTGCTAATTATGCAAAATCTATATTTTCTCATCAGACTGAGAGGGGAACAAATAGTCTTATCAGCCAAAGGCAGTTTGGCAGCAGGGTTGCATCATAGTCAGTTGATATACTGGTCTATCTGCATTTGGTAGACTTCAGCTTCTTTGACCTCAACTGGAGACCACATACTACATGTGTTCAAATCCCCAGTCACAGAAGTTATCAGCCCTGCGGCGGTGTCCTTGAATGCCTGTATTCATCAGTGGTGCTGCTCTGGCTCCGAGTTACCTTAAACGCCATTACATTTGATATAAAGCATGTTTCAGTAAAGATGAATTTGTATTATTTTGCTCAACATAAGGAATGGGCACACATTCTGATTGCTTTCCCTAATAACTGGGAATGGGTTGGAGAAGAATCAGACCAACACTGGGACAATGAACACAACTCTGAGGGGCTGACTGTACCACCTGCCCGCAGGTTTCATCTAGAGGACAGTTTATTGAAACAGCATGCCAGTACTTGTAGATAGGACGGACTTAATTGTTGTTTTGGAGTAAGAAGCAATCTAATTAACACCGGAAGTCGTGCGAATCTGTTGTCAAAATAAAAGCATACATCTTTCCTTTGCCAGTTGTGTTTTTTAACCAGAACTCTATTTTATGTGGATATTTGGTTTAGACACCACCTGAATTTGAAACAGCGAGGAGAACAAATACGGCTGGCTAAGTAAAGTGGGATTATACCAAAGGTTTATAACTGGTGCTTACGCGGGAGAGTACAGTACTAAATGTAGAGACTGATAATGTTGCTGATTGCTGATGTTATTAGGTTTACACATCATGTGATAAGTGACTTTTCCATCATACATAAGATCTGTATAGTCTACATGAACAAGAACATGGGCTGAAAGAAATATTGCCAAGACTGCACATATCATTCCAAGCATTGTTCTGGCATAGGAATTGTATGTATGGTGGCTATGTAAGGTGTATTCATGTATGATGTTAAAAGTGAATGGATCTATCCCCATTTGGATTTTTTACATTTTTATTCTATACAGTTGATGCTCACATTTTATAAAGTAGGTCACGTCCTGTAATACAGCCATACATCTGTTTTTGTCCTTATGACTGACGCTGTGAAACTTACCCCTGCAAGTGATCAGTAAAGTTTATCTTTTGTTTTACAAATTATGGCTATTAGTAGTATTCCAATCATGCTCATAGACGTAGTGTGACCGGTATAACCTACACAACCAAAAGGGTCACTTTGAAAAAACAAAACAAGGTAAAAAAAGTTTTCTTAATCCATATTTGCTACCATCCAAATGTTTGTGAATATGGGTTTTATTTTGAAGGCGCTCTCCGGAAACGCTGCATCCTACCGCGTGCCCTTGGCTCCGCTGTTATGGAAACGAGAGTGGGCGGGGCTAACTGGTGCCATTCGACTCCGGGTTTGATGCAGAGATGAAGTCCTCGGTGGCCAGCGTACTGTAGTCGGTCCTCCGAGCTACTTTAGCGCACAACTTTTAATATCCGCCGTGCGACCAGTCCGCTGACCCGTCCGGACAACAAACTAGACATTTCCTCTCAATTCCAGTCTAATTCTGCCTGTTAATTCAGGCCAGGCTAGACGTGTCGCGCAACATCCCCACCACCACCACCTTTTGTGGATTTTCCCCCCTCTGCAACCAAATAGTCTGGTGCTTCAGTGAGAGGAGAAAGGAAAACAAAACACACTTTGGCGGATTGTTTTCCCGAACATGAAGAGGAGATGCGGGAGCAGGTATGAACCGACTGATAATGAGGATTATCTCTGCCACTAACACATATGCAGCGAGGTGCCCTGGTTGCGGATTCAGCCTGCTCGGTCATCGAGCTGGGGGGGAGAATTTGGGAGAAGTCGTGTGGATCACAAAGAGCTTATTAGAGCCGGGGATACAACAAGTTTCAACCATGCACCTCCTGTGCTGACAGAGGACCGAGTCGGGAGAGGAGCTGTGGTTTTGTTTTCTGGCCAGACTTTTCACCACAACACAAAGTTGGACAATTGAGAGAAGTTTTCCAGTGTGTCGTTAAATAACACTTACTATTCAAGGAGCAGTGCTTTATATCCACCATCGACTCATAACTACACTCAGCCAAAGTGTATTTTTTTCCTCCTACTGCAGTGTTTTTGACCACAGTGTTAGGCTCTCTGAACTGAAGTCCACTTTAAATGCGGACTGGTTTGCGGTCAGTGAGTGCACAGCCGAGCTGCCAGTGCCACTTGATTTTTAATTCAAGGCAAAACAGAGGTGTTTTCTTTTTTTGCCATTTCGTACCAACAGTATGGAGCTGACATGCAGGAGCATTGTCCTGCTGGGGTGCATCTTCCTGGACTGGGCTCTTCTGGTTTCTGCAGAGGAAGGTGAGTCTGGGAGTTTTTTCCCTTCATGATGTCGCCTTGACTTGTTTTCTGTGGTTGCATGGCTGAGTGAGATGTACAGTTAGTATTACGTCCTGTCCCTTACCGAAAAGGAAGTGCAGTAAAACCACATGTATAATTTATTTAAAAAGCATGCAAGGAAAAGGATCAGGCAAGAAAGAACTTAACCTAAATCTCAGGGGAGTAATCATAGAAATATCATGGCAGGATGTGACTGCAGCCTCATAAATTAGACATACTGTGTGTTACAGGTCTAGTATTAATCCCATCCTGGAAGTGTTCATGAAAGTATGCCCCCCCTTTATTTTATTATATAATCTTATTTTGATGGGTTTTGTGCCAAACACAAATATTGGTGTTGCCCTCCTGACATGTCCAGGAAGGCTATTTCTAAGAACCTAGCCACTATTAGTTTTTACTTTCAAGTCATCAAAAGGTTCCCAAGCGGCACCCTGGGGACCCTTAACCAGCTCACCCTAAAATCAATAAAACATTCAGTGCATTGAGCCAAATACAGGGCCGGTGTGATTTCTGTGGGTTGATGTAGAGATCTACATGAGGCATTTTAGCTTTGAGGGGAAAAAAACACCCAACCTTTTTGTATTGAATACATAATCGGGATCATAATTTATATTAGTTTCTGGCGGCGTACTTGACATGAACAGGGAAATTATCCTGGATCAGCTTTGTGGACCCTGGAGGGACAAGCAAGACAGCCTTGAAATTATCTGTCTCAGTGTTAAAGAAAATGAGGGTTTTAAATTGTCTGGTTTTACAGGGGAGTATAGCTCAACATCATCAGCATAACAACAGGGCCAGTTTCTGGGTAATTTGCTTAATGCAGGGGTGGAAGACCGAGCCTCAGTGGCAGATCAGAATCAACCAGAAGGCAGGGTGTTTATTTATTTTTGATCTCCTGCCATGTCTGTGTCTTTTTGTGACATATGTGTGTAATGGGGAAGTTTCGGAGCTGTGGAGGGAACTGAAACTGATTTGAGTTTTAAGAATGCTGCTGAGACAACTTTGTGTAAAACCTTTGATAGGAAATGGTCTTTGGAAATAATAGGCCTGTGTTTTACTGAGGATCAAAGGATCTCTACTGGGTTTCTTTAAGAGCTGTTGAACCACTGGGTTTGTTTTAAAGTGCCGTACTGCTGTGTAGGACACATGCTGTTGTGTTTCTCTGAAGACTACTCTTTATTCTCCATCATGCTTTTTATGGTTGATACTATTTGTAGCCTTATACACAGCTGCTTAGGCTGATGTTGCTTAACTGAGGCTTCATGTTTTCTAAATGCCATTTTCCCCTCGCTGGTTAGCGTCACAACAGTGTTCATATATGTTCATTAACAGCCATTTCTCTGGCTACTTCCCAGCGAAAAATAAACATGCCATGAAAACAATGAGCTCTTTTACAATAAAACTTTCCCTCAAGCATGTTCATTCCAATCAGTGGTCGCTGTAAACAGGAACACCATGAACATGCATGACTTCACATACTCTGTGGCAGGAACATGAACCTGTCAACTGCCTCTTGTCTGAGACTGGATGCCATATCCGCTGGTACTAAAATGCTCTTCTCTTGTAGGGGTGGACTTGCACAATATGGTATTTACCCCACTGTACAAACACGTCTGTAGCGTACAGTATGGGACATCACCCATGGTTTTCTGAGGGTTGTTTTGAAGCCTGGATCTGCCGCTTGTGCACACACACACCCATCAAAAGAAGATGTTAAATTACCGCAGCTACTGAGACTCTGAATTCTTGCGGGGAAGCCATTGTTGACTTTAGGGAAGTTTGGGATTTTCCCAGACACTTCAACATTCGGTCAGAGGTTGTTTTGCAACCACGGTTCTGTCCATTAAAGGAACTGTAGCTTCTTCTCCACAGCTGGGCCCTGACCTCTGATTCAACCCTTAGTTTCTCTCCGGAACATAAGAGATGCTTAACCTCAGATCGGTGTTGTTGTCAGCGATGCCCAGCACGTCTTTGGTGGCAGAACCATGAAGAAAACCAAGAATAGTCCCAGTCGACTTGGCTCTGTTCCTAACTTATTAATGGTCTGTACGAGACGTTAGTTCCAAACAGGTGCTGCACAGGCTTGATGTGTAGGACGGTCATGTAGACAGGAGCTGAGGGGTCGTAGCACCTTGTCGGCTGACTCCAGAACATCTGTGTCTTGCCAAGTGTGAACAAGATGTCTGGTTTTCGTGTCTTGGGTAATGGCACGCTCCTCTGCCAGCACACTCTGGATCGTCCTCCCCCTTGTTCTCCACCTAGTAGGGAATTCTGTAATGAACTGATGGGAGGGTAGATGAAGCTCACAGCTGCCAAATCTCTCCTCCTTTTCCAACTAAAGGATAAATGACTCACTTACACACACCACTTGCTCGCTCAGTGCATGGATCTCTCTTCATTCTGTCTCCAGGAAGATTAAAACACGGACCTCTTGATCAGATAATTACTTTGGCTGGAAATTAATAGCAAGCTTTGGGTGGAAATGAGTAACAAGGATGCACGCAGATTGCGACACACACACACACACACTCACACACACAGAGTAAAAACTAACAGTCTTTCTCTGCCTGGCCTTGCATAAAAATGGATCACGTAAAGAGAAGTATAACCAAGGCCTTAAACTGAAAAGGCGTGAGCTTTTTGTCCGGTATTAATAATTCTCACTCATGTAGCCCTACTGCAGAAACATATTTGACTTTATAAATGTAAGTTATAAATGTTCCTTATCCTCCCACACGCAGACTAAACCTATGAAGTACCCATTTTGTTTTCCTCCCTGCCCCTCGTTATTCCTTGCACATACAGTTTCTCTCTCTAACCAATGGCAGATGCAGCCAGTGACAAATGCACTGCAGTCTTATCCACCTGTTCAGGTCCAGAGCTTAAGTGATGCAAACTTGTCAGCACTCATCTAGACTCGTAGGACAATTTTCCACCCAGGTGGGGCGACATATTCAGTTCTGTTCTAATTTCCATGGCTTGAAGGCATTTTTTGAGAGCCAGCGCTACTGAATCACCTGTGTGATCATCTGTGGTGTAACAGTTTTGTAAACAGTCACTCTTAATATCAATAGTAGTTTTCACCCAAATCGAGCGCAAATTTTCAAGTGAATTTCCAGAAAGTCGTCAGAAGAAAATGCGAATTAATGCATGTTTCTATCTACTACTGTTATGCAACTGTTGGTGGCAAAAGTTCCCAAGAAGAGGGCGCAACAAAATTATATTGTTACCTCCAAATGAACAAAAATGATGTGGAAAGACGTGATGGAAATATGGCATTTATGTTTGTTTTGCGTGTTATTTTGAGGAAGGTTATAGCCTCCTCATTCTCACCTCCACACAGATATAATGTTTCCATCTGCTGCAATTTTTCCTCTCTCCAGTGGAGCATAAAATGGTTTATAACATTTTTTTTGTCAAATTTCCTGTGTTTTGGGGTTTTTTATGCGCAAAATGAAAACATACACAAAAACAGGTGGGTGGAAATGCTCTTATTGAGATGCACGTAAAGCTCTTGTTCATGTCCGTGCAACTTGACTGTAGGTCAGTTGGGGTGGAGAAATAGCTTTGATTCTGCAGTTGATGTGTGATTGTCTGCTGAACATTTCTTCCAAGCAAAGGCAGTGTCTTTTTAGCAAAATTATTATTTTTTGGCTGGGAGGCTTGTACTTGCTGCTTATGTATTTTACAGCATTGTAAATCCTTCTACATCCTGGCAATGGGGAGTATATCTTCTGCAATACGGCATGTTACTGCAGCTGTTACCTCCTATTTACAAATCATCTTTTTACTCAGTGTGTAACAAGAGAATGCATCTGCCAATGGCATTTGTTTAGTAGAAGCCTGTCTCATTGGGGTGAAAAACACCGACAGCACTTTTCAAAATTTTTAGCTTCTGCTGATGGAAAGGGGTGAAGGAGTCATCCTGTCTCTTGAAAACGTGACACACAGCAGTGGTTTGCTCCATATCTCACACTCCCAAACCAAAGCAACCCTAAACAAAACAGTTGACTTTAACAGCTTTTTGTTTGCCGCTTGAAATGACACACGTGCAGCCTCCAGTCTGAACAATGAGCTCACACAGCTACAAGTAGATGCGCCGGCGGCCAATTGGGAGTAATGAGATAACTGAGTAATAAATTCACATTTCCAATATAGTTACATGATTTAAAACATATTGTAAATTAAAAAAAATTATGTCCCTATACATATTTGATTGGGGGGGGGGATCATAAAAGCTGATAAATCGCCCTGCTTTAATGTGAGTGGGTTGACAAAGATGCCTAAAATGTTCCCACCAGCACCGGCTTACTGAACATTTTTGTGCAGTGCAGTTGATTGGTAGTCGCTGTGTGCGAGCAGTGCGGGGAAACCAATGCACATCTGTATACCTTGCCTTAAACAAATACAGCAACACTCACCAGTTGCTCATATCCAGGCAGCTGAAGAACATGTAACAGGCTTCGTCATATGGAATTAAACAAAACATCCAAGGCTTATATTTATGTATCCTGCTGATAGACCGCTTTTAGGTTGAAGGCAAGATTTACATCAAGCCCCTAAAAATGTTAAAAGGGGGGGACTTTCCCTGCCTTTTTTTTTTCACCCAATCTGTATTCTGTTTATTCTTTCACCTCCTGACTCCTCCATGCCATAACCAGCATGATGAATAGCATAATGCCTCTCAATCTAAAGTAAAACTCAAAAGCAGAAAGGATGTTTTTATCTAAGAGGCCTTATTTGAGCCTCAACCCCTTCTTTCAGAGACATGTAGCCTTTTCTTTTGCTACTCTTTCCACGTCCTCTGTCTCCTTGATGTTTGACTGGTGCTATGCTGTTTTCTCTTGCTGACTGTCTCCCCTGCCGTGGAAATGTGGATCGTTTCCCAGAAATCCTTTTAAACGGAACCGATTTTTATAAGAAAGGGATTTGCATTTAAAGCAACCTCCCCCCTCTCTGAA